GTATTTTTACACAACCAAAGACAATTCCGCTGCAAGGTGAAAAAATATCGTTTGTACGCGTTTAATAATTGGCTCGTGCTCCGATCAAATCGGTTAGGATTTATACCTACCAAATAATTTCTCTCTCTATTTTTTTTTTCTTTTATCAATAGTTATTTCTGTGTCACAATTTCATATTATATCTGTGCGAAACGTCTTCGACGTGAATTAATCTGACAGAAAGTTATGACACCGCCTTTACCCGTCGTATATTATTTATAAGTTTTTCAGTCGTACAACAATGATGATAATCTATTCGTCTGTCCTAACCCCCGGACGGTTTCCCGAAATGGATTAATAATGTTCTGCAGAAGAACGAGAAATTCGTAAAATAAATACTAATTTAACATGACGTTGATCTCGAATAAGACTTACAAGCGTTTTCTGTTAGAAAAACGCCGAACATAATTTTATTGCGTATATAAATACATCATATACAAGGCAGAGGCGCAGCTAGATGTAACGCGGACTTTGCCCCCGCTCCAACCCTTCGTCGACAGTATTTTTAAATATTTTATCATAATTGTTTCAAGTGTATTTAGGAATCCTAAGTACCCCACTAATACGTTCAAATATTTTCTTTTTTCTCTCGTGCCATATAACAAAAAAAAACAAAAAAAAAAAAAAAAAAAAAAAAAAAAAAAACAACGAATGAATATTGGATATTTTTACGACTTATTTTAAAAAAAAAGTATAGTTTATATAGTAGAAAAAAAAATCTACGATGTTTGTTATGAATTTCTACTACCCTTCGTTTATGTTATAAAATAATAATAAAATAAAAAATAATTTTTCTAAAATAACGTTTTTTTTTTTTTAAATGTAAAACTGTAAAACAACAAAATGGGTCGGAAAAGTAAAACGTATAACAGTAATCGTTAAAACAATCGAAATTATTTTCCGGAATGTTAGTAAAAAAAAAAAACGGCAAAAATGTACAGCAGAATTGAATAATTTATTACAGGTGAAACGTTTTTTTTCACGAGTAGGTGATATATTACAGTTAGGCAATTAGTATATAGGGTTGACTTACTGTTAGCGACATCACTTTTTTTTATGGCATTCAATTTTAAAATATTGTTCCAGAAATAAATTGTATAAATTATTTAGACTGCAGTTTCAACGACACAACAGTACAGTAAAACATTTTAAAATTCAAGGAGAAACAATTTTTTTCCCGTCAATTATTACATAAACCCTCAAAATTATAAATGGTTTAATACACATCTACAAAAATCGATTCTCGCAAAACTCAAATCTTTTTTTTTTGAAATTTGTTTCTGAGTAAGTACAAGAATTTCTCGTTTTTACAATATCATTTAAAAACAAAAAAAAAAAACCGATTCAATGATGGTAACAGGATATCCAGTCCGAAACGTGATTTTCTATAGGTTTGTTTTGTTTTATTTATTATTTTTACTTTGTACCGGATAGTAGACATAGCGAGTTCCTTCTGTTCATTTAAGGATCACGTGGAAATTGTTAAAGTCATTTCGGGGTATTACCGTTGTAAAGTCGAAAAGCCTGATTTAGTTTCGAATGTACCGAACTTGAAGAACTTGAAAATGGCCGGCCATATTTATTACACATTGTACGTATATTTTTGAACTACAACAGCACGTTTAAACACAATTTAATGTGCAATACGACTCAACGGGTCCTCTACATTTATACGGGCCCAGAGGAAATAGCCTCCTTTACCCTCCTTTATTTATGTTTAGAGTAAAACTGTACGGTTAGTGATTGTTACTGCGTACATTATTATATATTATATTACTTATTGTGGTTGTGGGCGAATCCATTTCTAAATCGAATTCAATATTACAAAAGTATTTCGCAGAAAATTAATAGCAAGACGTCGTCTTTTATCGAGCAAACCGATTTATAATATAATTACCGGCAGACTATATAAATTATAATAATAAGTTACTCGTTTCGAAGTTCGCAAACAGGCGACTATATACGCAACGGAAACGATCTGCTGCATTTATCTTCGCAATCACGTGACTATATTATATACTGCGTATATAGTATAGTATTATTACAATCTACTCGGTTCGTCTTGTTCAAACTTTAAATTGGTCGTACAACGCTATAGATAACCGAATGTTTATAATATCTGTTCGTTATATTTTGATAATAACACACGAAACACACATTATTATAGAGCAGCACCCAAAAATATATACGTGGTGTACTGCACATGCTATTGAATTCTGAGTGAAGCGAAGCAGCTATTGATTTTACTAGACTGTGTTTATTTTTTTCGGAAAACACTTAAAAGAAACAGATTTTTCGCTCAGTTTTACTTTGCTGGAAACATTTTTTTTTTTTTTGATATTGTCAATAGTAGTTCGCACTCTTTAATAATTTCGTTTTATTTTTTTTATTTTTCGGCCTAAATAGCACAAATGCTGCGCATATTGTGCGATGTAAATTTTGTTCGATAAAAAAGGCAAAAGTCATATCGTACAATATAACTATAAATATTAAATTTTCTACTGTGGACATTTTCAACATTTAATTCGCTTGAACACAAAATTGACTTGAGCCCTTTTTCCTCAGGACCAAAGATATAATCATTGTGGAGTGTGTGTTCGCGATAAAATAATCACCCCGACATTATTATAATACCTAAGCCTTCGTTTAAAATCGGTCTAAAACAACTACGCGTGTTATACTATACCTATATTATGTGTATTTGTTTTGCATTTCAGGCGTGGATGTACGAGGTGCGTGCATTTTACAAATATCCGGAAATTAGTGTTAATAACCGTGGATACACATTATTACATAGCTGCCTATCAAAACATCCGCTGTACTCGACAGCTGTATACCTAAATACTCTCCGACGGATTTCGTAAAATCAATTCCTATATAATATTTTTATCACGTCCCCAGTCCCGGTAAAATATCTATACGCTGTCTAATAAACTACTAATGTGCTTTATAGTTTTTCACAACCGCCGTTGAAGTAGTATTTACAACAATCCGTAGATACGTGGTCATCACGTTAATTGCCCGTACGGGATAATAAATATAATCAAACAATATTATCATGTACGAAATTCGCATCCGCGTTCGACGTGTTTCGCAATCGCTAGTAAACGAGTAAACATTACCAACGAATAAAACTCTGGCAAAAAAAGAGAGAAAAAAAAGTATTTGTAATGCTTTTTCGTATATTTTATAGGTTCTGAGTAACGTGACGATTGTATATTAGTTTTACTGTTATTATTTTTTTTTTTTTTTGACCGTACAAAACTTTTCGATTAAAAATCTTACTCCAATCATTAACTTCAGAACTATTGACATCAGTTATAGTAGTGAAATATTTGATTTTCCTTGTATTTTATCTTGTCTCTAATAACGGTAGAAAATTAAAAAATAATATCGAAATACACGTATACCTCTAGAAAAACGGTTTCTGTTAAAATCGATTTTATTATTCCGGTTATAATATTGATGACAAATAATCGTAGAGACGTGAAATGTTCACCCAAAAACTTAAAACAATATTTTTTGGACTTGATATAATAAGCGAAATAATCAGAAATTGTTCTCGAGTTATTTAATTTGTTTTTTATTTATAAATTATTTAATGTGAACTAAAACCACGTTAACACGCTGTGTTTATTGTTTGAATAAAATTTATTTAGCTCCGTAAACATACTTAGAAACTTAAATAAACATTGATTTCCAACGTGGGTGCTACCAATCCATTGTGGACATTTTTAATTTTGCAGGGGGAGGAGGGCGTTGAGAGGGGCGTTCATCTATAATTTATATTTGTATTGTTTATAACTGATTGCAATGAAATGTAAAGATTTGTGGAATGAAAATTAATTTAAAATACCAAATGTAATATACAGAATTATGTAAGTATAATATTTTTAGACACTTAAATAACATTAAATTAATAATAAACATAAAAGCCTTTATCTTATCGCATTTTGTATTGCATCGATTCCGATTAACTTAATGTGGCCATAATGTTGTGTGTAGTGAAAAATTTGTGGTATTTGGTATTGGGTACTTGACATTATTATTGTGCATATAAGTAAAAGTTATATTCGTAAATATTATAAAATGTTTGAGAACAAAAAATGTAGAAAATATTGCATTGAATATTTTAAATTTGGTTTTATTCTATCTACGACAAATGAAAAATTGCGCTTGTGTTTTATTTGTGAAAAAATATTCAGTAATAAAGCCATGAAACCTTCAAGAGTAAAAGAGCATTTTATGAAAAATCATTCAGATAAAAGTAACACAAATATTTTATAATTTAATGACCTAAGGAATAAATTTGTAAAACGAAAAACCTTAAGTGGATTTTTTAGTAAAACTCATCTAAGTAACGGTAAAGGTCTCCTTGCATCCTACAAAGTGTCTCTTTTAGTCGCAGTGTTGTAAGCCACACACTATCGGTGAAACACTTATTTTACCTGCTGTAGAAGCAATATTAAAATCAATGACAAATTTAAATGTAACTGATATAACCTCATCTATTTCTCTCAGTAATAATACTGTGACCAGGCGAATGGATGAAATGGTGTACGATGTTGAAATAAAATCGTGTGGTATTTAAAATTTACAACATTTTCTCTATAACTTAATGAATTCACTTGACGAGATAATGAAGCCCTGTTACTTCCGTACGTGCGATATGTAAACATCGATGAAAAAATATCAGAAAAACTACTATTTGCAAAATGATTAAACACGGATATTTAAGGATTAACCATATTTAGAGTGTTAAATTTTTTTTTTATAGAAAAGGGTATTCCTAACACAAATTGAAATTAACCTGTACGACTGACAGAGAACCTGCAATGATTGGATGTCAACATGGTTTTATTGCTCATTTAAATTCAGTCCCTGGGATTTTAACCGTTCATTGTGTCATTAATCGTCAACATTTAGTAGATAAAAATTTAAGTAATGAATAGTTTGATACCATGCAGAACGTCATAAATTCTGGTAATAAAATCAAAGCTAAATCATTGAATGATCGCTTGTTTCGACATTTATGTCACGACAATGTTGAAGACTTTGAACGCCTTATTCTACACACCGAAGTTAGGTGGCAATCAAAAGGAAATTGTTTGACACACATTTATAATTTATTTCAAACTATACTAGAATTTCTGCAGCCACTTGATAAACAACTTTACGATGAATTACAAAAAATAGAGACAAATATTGCATACTTAGCAAATATTTTTAAAAACTTAATGAAGTCAATAAAGATTTTCAAGGTGATAAAATTAATTTTATCAAATCTAAGTCTATTATCAGTAAATTTATTTCAAAATTAAGTCTTTTTAAAGAAATATTAGCCAACGTGAATTTAATAATTTTTTTAACTTATTAACTTCAAAACAAATATTAGATTCTGACTTAGAAATATACTGTGCACACCTTGAATCCCTAAAAGATAATTTGAGTACTAGATTTAAGGATATCAACGACCTGCTTATACCAGAATGGGTATTTAATCCATTTTTACCAGATATACAAAATTTCCAATTGAAGAAGAACTACTCGAAGTGAAGCACAATGAAGAAGTTAAACTCGTTTTTAAACATAATGAATACGAGTTGTTTTGGCTTAAACAAAAAACTATGTACCCTCAACTTTGGAAAAAAGTGGAATTACTTATTATGGCTCTTCTGTCGACATACCTGGTCGAAAAAAACTTTAGTGCGGTTCAACAACTTCTCACCAAATTAAGAAACTAATTAGAAATATGTGAAAAAGTAGATTTAAGACTAATGCTGACATCTATTGAGCCAGATATAATTTCGTTAGCAGGAAACCATCAACTTCAGGGCAGTCATTAGTCACATAAGTATTTTTGTGTTATTATTTTATATTAGCAAATTTGAAATCAAATTATATAATTTATATTATTAGTAGGTATTTAAATTTAAAATTGACTAATTTTTATTTATTTATTTTTTTAATTGCATTTTTAAAATTATATTTTTTCTTTAATTAAATTGCTTGATAAAAAAAAAAAAAAACGTTATCTTTTTTTTTTTAAATTGATTGGAGGGTGGCGTGAGATTTTTAAAATCTAAAAAAGGTTGAGAAATACTGAATTTTACCATGTTTACCATGGCTCATTAGTAATCTAAAAAACGGTATGGTAAAAAAAAAGTCGAGCGTAATGTTTTTATTATTAGTTTTAATGTTTTAAGTTCAATTTTTGATTGAACTTGTAAAATTCGTAGCATTTTGAGTAGGTACCTATAATCTATTGTATATACTTTTAACTATTATTAGTTATTTTGCAGTTTCGTTGTTTGAAATTGGTAGGTGAACCATACATACAATAATATTGTGACAAACTTACATTTTAACCTAAAGAATTTTATTTCTATAGTTATAATTGAAAATTTAAAAAAGAAAATAATATTTTCATAAAATAATATTTATCTGGAATTTTATTTTAATTTCTGTTTGTCAACAATTTCGGCGGAGTTCACAGCTGTACATTTTCACAGAACAAGAAATGAATATCTAACTTTGACATAAATTTTGTAAAAACTTTTAAACATTTCGGCAATTATTATTTTAAAGACAATCATAATAGTTGTTTGAAATATTTAATTATGATGACAGTAATTTGAAATACTACAGTTTCATTAATCATCTATGTATAATTTTTGTTTACATTTTTTTTTTTTTAACTTCGTCAATCATTTATTCGTTTTATTCATTGTCCTTATATTTTTTCATAATTAATTATCTATTCTCATAAATATACTTTTCGTTTAACATACCTATTATGAACGATAGATAATTATTATAGTTTTATTAAATTATCATTCACGTGTTTTGTTCGTTAGATTTCTTTCATTTGGATGTATCTACCAAAACACTGATCCATATTATCCGGACATATTTTCGCACTATCGTAAACCTCTGTTGCGGGTAGAAAGTTGTTGGGAAGGTATAAGACAGCATAGGATAAAGGAAAAAATAAATCATTTCTATCACAAAGCGATTCTGCGTGAAGCTCGGCAAATTAAAAGTTTCCAGTAATAAGCTAGTAATTAGTTAATAGTAATATGTATTTTTTTTTTTTGCATTGTAGACAAGACAATCCAGGAATCAACAAAAATAAAACCGAAATGTCGTAATGATATAATAAACCTGACCGCCGAAAGCTAGATATAAAGTGACGATAGACGTTACGGAAATGCCGAAAGGTCGTTGTTTATATTTGGTACTTTATACCACCTCTCTGTCCTGCGTGCTTCCGGAAACTTATTATTTCTATAGGACGTTAGACGATAAATAATATTATGTACTTAGGTTTTGGAGTTCGCCGTGTAACGCCGACATGTATTTTTAATTAAACGGATACCGTACGCGATGTTTATCGATCTCCTCAGACTCTCCACTGGATGAGTATACTACACTATATTGTGTAGGTATTATTATTTTAACGTACCGGAGAGTATATAATAATTATTTCAGTGTACGTAATAATTCCATCATTCGAGTTTGTGTATTTTTATTAGTATTTTTTTTTTTTTGCTATTACTATATTATAACCCGGTCGGTTTTATTATACTTCTAAAAACGAGACGAGGAGCAGGTAGAAGAGCAGGCATAACTTTAGAAGGAATTTAACGCACGAGTCCATCGCATTTTTTCGACCGAGGTTTTAATGACGTGCAACAAAATTCTTTCGCGGGTTTTAAAGCCGCAAGCCACCGGCGCAGTACGATTTATAACACGCTATGATTTAACTCCGGGTGATTTTTTTTTTTATGCTAAAACTAACATCGCGAGGTTCGTAAGCATTAAACTGATCGTATAAAAAAACGCACAACGAATTAATAATATTACGAACGTTTTTACGGGTTTGGTAGCGACACAACGGGCGAATTTTGTTTTCTTATCGGTTATGGTTAGTGGGACTAACGTTTCGAGGCATTAACATATTTTTATTAGCCATTCAAAAAAATTGCTAGTTAACAATAAAAATCTAAAATGTGTTTCACGACTTAACGAATCGATATTGTCCTACATAATTTTATCTAGCATATTTCAGTGTTTTAGGATTTTTAAGGTATATCTTGAGATTTCGTAGGTTTGTGGATCATATTTCAAGGCTTCTATAAATTATTGAAATATTTTCAACTCGATGAATCCCAAAATATAAGACAAACAACAATTTGTTGTACAATAAATACACACCTTTTGCATAGGTTAATGCAGCTGATGGTATTTTTCACGCCACCCAAATCTTTTAATATTATCGTTCATTGTTGTTTGAAAACGTATTCAAATCATTAAATGTTCACTACAATAACATCGGATAAAAATTACAATTTATGTTTTTTTTTTTTTGTTTTCATTGTAATATTTTTGTTTGGCTTTCAAATGAAGAGAAACTTAAGTATAAAAATACAGCACCTTTATGAAATAATAAAAATAAATTACAATTGTTATTTTTTTCTTAGATAGTTTTTAGAGTTTAGGGCCTAACTGCATATGTATATTTCAATTGGTCCGAATTAATGACTAAGTTATGGTTTCTCAATTGACCTTGGTGACAAGAAGAGCACACGGGCCGATTTTGTTTCAGGGACAAAGAAAAGGGATTATGCTTCTTCTATAATAGAACATAAGTCATATAAATTGTAAAACTTAGCAAAACGTTTTCGGGGAGATAGAGTTGAACCCTTCGTGCGCCACTGTCAGCAACGATATTGACGTTTTGATGCCCAGTGTCTGAATCAATCTAATAGTGTATAATAAGAAGTGTTTTGATAATACTCACATTTACATAGTACAATAATAATAGTGAAATACCTGAGCAATTCTTTCTTTCGTGTCTAACCGATTAGAGAGAACTGCCAACATTTACGAAATTCCTCGCGAAATAATATTAATATAATAACGATGATACTTCCGTAACCAGAGAACTAACGTTTAAATCGATTTTCACGGGACAGGGGTTTTACGGGTCGTACACACAAGGTACCGTACACCCATATTGTAAGTATTATTTGATATTTAAATCGGTTCGTGTCAGACACGCGTGATTTGTCGACGAAACGAACGATATTACTAACGACTGTTTGCAATAATATGATGGATAATATTATTATTAATTAATTAATTGATTGATAATAACCGTATATACCGACGGTATTTGCATTTTAAATATTATTATACGTTAGATAAACGAATTTATTGGCACGTTTCGATACGACGTATCGCACCGTTTGTCGAGTGATGTGTTTGTCATAATCGTTTGGTTTTCAAAATAATGACGGAACGGCCGGTTTTATCGAAAACGAAATAAAATGATAAACAATTATTAAAATATTATATAGTACGAGGACAACACTATACATCATTCGTTTATCGTTGTGTGTAAAATATTTGTTTACGGTCCTCGAGCGCATCAGTCAACGACGTATTGTAATTATTATTGCGGCCCTCGCTCAGTGTACCCGTCACCCTTATATGATTGTATGTTTTTTATTACATATTATATTGTTATGGACGCGGTAAACGAGAGAAAGATGAAAACCCGATATTGATTTTATACGACAAATGATGCACGATGTGTCGTATTTATATTTTATTATATAAAAACGAATGTCTGTTTGTTTGTGGTTTATGAACTCTTGAACTGCTGAAACGACCATAATGATATTATTTTATAACTAGCAAATGGTAATCGTCATGCAAAGGCTAGTAACATAGGCTAAACAATTTGCATATTTTCAAAAAAAAAAAAAATTAAATATTGTTTTGTCCGTTGGAGTTTTCATGAGTGCTCGTAACATAATATAATAATATTATTTTACATACATCTGCGTGTTCTATGTATATTGATGTTTCGTTCTATCTCCGCGTTCGAGTTCGGTTTAAATCCTTTTCATTTACGCCAAGGTAAATCGATGTAATTACCATTCCTCTTAGCTCGGAAAACGTCGCGACGCGTCGGGTAATTTAGCTTGATATATGCAATCAAATCCAGCAACAGAAATGCATTAAAAGCTAGTATTATTATTATTATTTAAAGGAGATAAAACAATAAAATACATAATATATGGCAAAATAAACCGCTTTACTATTACTTGACGGTATGGTCGACCGATATTCGACCGTAAAATATTATAGAAAATCGACGTGAAGGTTACGGGTAAGGCTTTGATGGCTATAATATATAAATATATGTCGCATCAATATTGCGTTATTGTTCATTTCGCGAAATGACAACGTTTATATCCATTTCACGAAATGGATGCCTAAACTTTACACAACGAAACTTGTTCCGTTATTTGGATGTTCGTAAGGCAAAATAATACACTAATAATAATAACAATAATACGATAATATATTAATAATTTTTTTTTAAACGAATTTTGTGTTTCACAATTGAAAAAAAAGAAAACTTTTTTTTTTAAGATTACAAATTTCTATTATTTTTATTTATTTGAACATGTTTGAGTAGTATGACAACGAGAATTACATTTTAAATTACCTTTAAAATAAGCATATTTTTTCGTAGCACATTTACCTTTACAGTAACAGCTAAAAAAAGCCATGACTTCCTATTAGAAATGATACAATTTCTCTGATTTACATTTCTTTTGTCTTTACTTAGTCGATATTAATGAATTTGGATGTGGCCGGTTGAATGTTTCCTAAACCATACCAACCCTTTATAATGCCATGTTCAGTTCTTAAATAGTTGAGATCATTTTCATGTCCCATGATTACTACAATAATGTTCATTAGATCTGTAGAGCCTCTATTCACCTTTGGAACGAAAAAACGACGGTTATCGACCGATATAATGTATACTGTACAATGTTTATACAGTAGATAAACCTAAAAAATAATTTTGTGATAAGAATATTTTCATACCAACCAAAAACCCTTGGTATACAATATAAGCTTTAAATAAATAATAATAATAGTTTATTATTTCGCATTATGGAAATCCAAATTATGGAACAAGTTTAGGTATCCATTTCGCGAAATGTTATCCATATTGTGTAATTACGTGAAGTGAAGAAACCGCGGTTCTATTTGGTGAAATTGACAATAACGCGATATGGATGCGACGTATATATATATATAAATATACATGTCCAATATTTTATATTATATATTATTATAGAGGGTGATTTTTTTATCCAAAATTTTTCTCGGATGATTTTAAGTGAATTTTATTCCTGTATTTGTTTTTTTTTTTCTAACCATTGTGAAATCGTTTAAGCTGCTTATTAAAACCATTTTTTATTTTATTTTCCCTACACTATTTACCTTAAATAAGTATATAGCATTGTTTTTCAAATATAAATCCTCTTGTTTGAATACAAATTCTAATAGAGAATATCTGTCTAGATATTTTAATATGCTTAACACTAATATACTAATATCAGATTTACAATCTATTTATATTTAACTACAATGGTTTCAAGTTTTGACCAGAAGTGTAGGAAAGGGTTATAAATTTACCATCTATTTTTCAACGACAAATTGATTATTCTTTCCTACTCCTTCGGTTTAAATTTTAAACGGTCATAAATCATAAAGGGTAAATGTGATATTAGTGTTATGCCTATTAAAATGTCTAGAAAAAAAAAAATTGTGTTTAAATCTTTGTTCAAAAAAAGAGATTCCTCTTTAGAAAACAAAAGTGTATACTTATTTAAGGCATACGGAGAAGAGGTAAAAAATTAAAAATGGTTTTCATATAAAGTTTAAACTATTCCACAATGATTAAAAAAAACGGAAAACCTTAAATTCCCCAAGAAAATTTCTGGTTCACTCTGTATACATATATATGCCTAAATTTGAATAAAAACCTATACTTAAAATCCTGTAATAAAGGATTAATGGATACACAGAAAAGGCTGGAAGAGGATTGGGTCATTCGGTGTGAGATGAGATTATCCTTATAAATGCTTAAAACCATAAACGGAGATAATACGTAGAAAACAAGAGCTTTTCGATTTGTACTTATATAATAATAATATAGGACCGCTGGATTACGTTTTATTCGATTAAAAAACATAATTCCATCCGAATATTATTGTATCCGACCGGATGTAGCTGCCATGTAACCAACTATAATATTTATGTTAATTATGATATTTAGGACCGGCTTAAGCTTCGTATAAAAGTACGTAAAACGGCAACACATAACGTGAACCTGAATAGCGTCGGGAAATACACAAATATGTTCAAAAAACATATGGTAGGTAGGTAGGTACGAACAAAGTTTCGAAACAAATATAATGTTCTAAATAAAAATAACACATGTACTTATATAGTTTTACTTCTCATACTCGCGAAATGATTATATAACCAAAATTATTCGTGTAAAATAATCGTATAAATGATGGTTACCTAATATTTTGTTTGTACAAGACCCGATACGAATAAATTCACCCCCCAAAATAAGGACAGTGTATCATTTTAGAATAGCCGATTTCAAGAAGTTTTTACATTAGTCGTTTTTTTATTCGATAATTATTTAATGGTAAATTCGATAAACGCTGAATATTTTTGCGAATTTCAAATCCATAACAATAACAAATTTGATTTACGTTCGAGTAGCATTAATGTCACTAAATTATTTTTCCACGGCCTAACAGATTGTGTCATTCATCCATAATTGCTCTTTTTACTACTGCATCCTACGAATGGACATTTTCCATAAAAAGCTATCCGAAATCAAAAATTAATGATTCAAGTCTAAAATATGTATCTACTGATAATTTTGAGTTGTGAAAAAATGATCCCAGTGAATTGATCTCGAACAATTGATCGCCAGTGAATTGTTCGTGAACAATTGGTTGTGAACAATTAATCGCGGCTGCAAATTGATCACCGAAAAAAATTAACGCATTGTATAAACTTTTCTTCGATTTACACTAATAAACTAATATTATTATAATATAATAATAATTTATTATTACTAATAAATTTAAATAATTCGTTGTTATACATTTTATTGCTTTTCTAATACTTTATTAAATGTGTTTTATAAATATAACTATATCTTGTATAAAAGTAAAATAGTTTATCAAGTTTTTTTTTAGTAATAGTTTAATGGATAAATAAACTAAAAATCAATAAATTATTTAATTTTATATGAAAATAAATAAATATGTGAAGACTACGAAATTAGAGATATAAATGATTTTTTTAAAAGGAATAGCCCATAACTTTCAACTTTTACAACGGTAAAAAATGTTTGTAATTTATTTTATTTTTATTTTTATATATTTTATACTTTATTATACTGTACTATATTATATATATTTAATAATTTAATATATAACTAATCAATACCTACATAACTAATTTTTTTTTTTTTTGGCGATCAATTTAACCAGCAACTAATTTGCAGCCACGATAAATAATTGTTCGCGATCAGTTCACAGGATACTGTGAAAAAAATACAAAAAACCGTTTAGATACACATATTGATAATCTTGTAGAAAAATAAACACCTACTGAGATATCGAAGCAATTTTAATTACTAATATATTTTGTAACTTGTATTTTATGTAAATTCATTTATTTTTATTTTCAAAAAAACGTAATGTAGTAGATTTTATAATACATATTTTAAGTTCAAATTTTAACGAAATTACTAGTTCACTGACCCATAAATAAACTTCAGATCGACGACTTTTGAAAACATGGAGATAACAAAGTTATATACCGTGAAAATAACCGGTAATAGTAATAATATGGTATTAAACCGCGAAAATGGTCGGAAATGGGGAGTGGTAGCAATGCAACATTGGTTAAGTTTTGAACGAGTATTTTATCTTTTGACCTTAGATGTAAAACTCAGATGAACCGTTTCATGGGATCGATCGATAGTGCTTGGCGTGACGTGAGCGAGAGATTTCGTCGTGTCCCGTTAAATATAATAGTATATTATTAAATACTCTTCCAAACAATAGAATAAAAAAACGATATATCCCGAATAGGTGTTGTATGTGGGAAGCTGAGAACGTATATTTATGAATTACGATAAAGGATCATTTTATTTTTATTCCGAAAACGACGGTAAATCAATGCCATCAAAAAACAGTACTAAGCGGATCTCGGAAACTAGTGAGTTTAGACCATGAAGATTAGTATCTCTATAGGTTAAACTAATTTCTAAACTAATCTATAACTAGTGGTTGGAAATCACTATTTTCTATGTAGTGTGCTACCACAACTGTTACGTTGAACAAAAAAAGAGTACCCTTTAATTATAGATGCATGTTTTATAAATATAGAGAACAACTACATTTTCTTTTTTAAAGTACAATTACTTTTTTCGATCTAAGGGAACTTTTTATTTTTGTCGATTTTATAAAATGGAGTACTTACTCTAAATATTGATTCTTACAATATAATATAACAACTGTTTATTTATATTTGATGTTTCTAATAAAAAAACGAGAAACTATAGTCACATGTTTTATTTTGCAACAGGTTAAATAATATAAAAACGGACGGACATATATACCCACTGTTATAGGGGAAAAGTTGAAAAGGTATAATATAGAGGGAAATTAAATTTCATATCTGTACACAACAATTAATCATTGCTAACGAAAATCGATTCTGGTCGAATTTATTTGTAACTTGAGTTCAGCAATTATTTTTTTCAGAATAACTGTCGGGAGTCCAAAAGTTTGATTCTATAAATTTCCATCTGGTCGCTAATTTATTTAAGACATCATCAGGGTCTATCATTATATCACTATGTATATTCATCATTGCCAAACTATTCAACCTATTTTCATACGTGGTGTTTAACAAATATGTTTTCAATCTTTTTAATGTTGAAAAAGATCGTTCATTGCTAGCAGTTGTAATTGGGAAAGTTGCTAAAATCTATAGAAGTTTGAAAGCGGCAGGGAAAATTGATGTGTTACGTATGTTTGAAGAACGGTGATATAATTTTTTGGTAAATCTTCACTTCTTGTAAATTTTTGTTGTCATATTTTAATTTCACTCTGATGTGTGAAATGAACAAAAAACTCATAAAAAAACTTATAATAATAAATATTAAATAATTTACAACATGCCAGAATGTTGCATAGTGCATAGGTAGCAAGTTAGCATAAAGAATAAGCAACCATCCACTAGTTTCTAGAATATTAAAATAGCAATACTATTAATGAAGTTTCTGTTTGATAATAATATACTTTATATTTCATAACAATAACAAGGATAATAATTAATAAACAATATCACTACCAATAAACCCATTTCAAATCATCTATTAAAAGCATAGAGGTTTTAAATGTAAACGTAAATAAATAAATATTTTTTTTTTTTTAAACCTAATTAAAAAACCCATATCACCCATTTTAAAATCTGTATCTTTTAAAACATGATGTATATAATTTAGAGCATATTTTTTTTTTTTAAATCAAAAAAAATGTTCCGACAAAAAACTAGAAATCTCAGTAAAACTAATGTAGGTATACCAAAATCTAATACAAGATATTCTTATTATTATGTGTGCACGTCTTAACATTTAATTATAATATCATCAATAGTATTAAATTTTACTGTTTGATACGGGTTATAAACATACGTATCGAAAATGAACAATATTGATTTATTGAGAGGTAATATTATTAATTTTGTTTTTCTCTTGACTAATTTATTATTAATCTTTATCATTTTAGAAAATAGACGAATCGATGATAATTCTTTGATTTGTAATTGATCGAATAATAATTGAACCCATTGTTGTATTATAGTTGTATTCGAACCGATATAGGAACTACATTATTTTTCATATTTTTATGTTACATGACGATTAACAAAAATGCAAATTACGGATTTTTTTTCTCAAAACGATGAAACTTGATGGTCAAGTTACTTCATAAATTCAATAATTTTTGTATTATTCGTTTTCTTTGAAGTTTTTATATTTTTTTCAATACAACGATTGATCTTGAATTTTCTTTTTCATTTTTTTCGTTTAGTAATGATAAATGACACCATGTTCTTCTCCACTAGAATTACTACTTATAGATATTACGATATACTGAAAATAAATTATACTGAAATACTGAAAAACTATGTTTGAACACTATGTATGAACACTAAACTATGTTCGGTGAATTGATGAGGTTAATCTTATTTGGTAGATCGTATGTGACAATAACCGGTTACTTCAGTTGCTTAGTGATCAAGCCTCCAAATATCCAGGTGATTATAGTTTTTTTTTTAGTAAACCCGCGTAATAAAGGCCTACGGGTACTTATTATTTTAGCCGAGCAACGTATAATGCTGCACTCATTTGTTATATGGGAAAACGAAAATAATACCATCACCGGCAATCAAAGAAACCTATACAAACACTCGGACACCCAAAGGCGACCGACTTGGTATATAATCTATAAAAATATAATACACTTACACGAGAACATTCACACACATACACAAGTGTATATAATAATTTGTATTAGCCGAGCTTTTAAATTAAAAGCAAACGGCTGTAAGCGAATCGTTTAATGTTTAATATATATATTATACATATGTACGAATGCGAAGCGGCTTGCGAAGTTTGGGTTGTTTTCAGCGTTGATTGATCACGACCTGCAGTTGTTTGCCTCTAACACGTCCCGTGTAATAATATTTTACTACTGAAATGTACACACACGACGACGTTAAACCATTTTCTCGTGTTGCATATTACTGTACGTTCGGCACGAAAAAGACATTTTTTTAGACCCGGAGTGTATCGCAGCGAAATCAGTATACACCTATACCGAGGTATCAAATATCTCGCATACAATCATTGTATATTATATTCTTATTTCACCTGAAAGGTATAAATATTATTATCGTATCTTAGATATCTAGGTAAAATAATTTGGTTGTTTTATATCGACTCAGAAACTAAACATGTCTAAAAACTTACTGTGCTAAATTTCAAAAATCTTTGTGGGTTTGAATTACTTAAAATCGTTAGGACGACATAAAGATAGCGTTAGTTAGTCGTTAGAAGAAATTTAAATGGAATGGGAATCGATATATAATATAAGGCGATGGGCAACGATGTAGTTTTTAAGGAAAATAGTCTAAATGGCTGGTAAAGCCAAAAAAAAAAAAACAAAAATAAATGTTATCGTGTTACACGCTTCAGTTTTGTGATGTATAATATTTCACGCAAACTATTTATTTTTTTATACAAAAAGTTTCACGCAGAAAATTTATAAAACCGGCAACACAGTCGACGGTATTTTAGTGTAGTTTTTTTTTTTTTTTAATTTCCCGGATGACATAATGGATGTTAAAAATCTGGTGTAACATGATATTTCATTCACTTGGCAGTAAGTTCTCGAGTTACGCTCACGAGTTTTAAATATATTTAATATAATAATATAGCGATATTATCAAACGACCAAGCATATTCTATCATTTAACAACACAGATCGGTACGTATGTGAGTATTTAGAAGAAAAATAATATAAAATATAATTTGCGTGTATTCAATAGCGTTGACGCGCTATTTTAAATATTGAACGCATAGGTATTATTATTAAGTATTTTAAACGATATTTTTACCTATCTACTATTGAAAAAAGGTTTTGTTTCTCAACGTTTCGGGCTGCTACTATGAAGATCATCGAACAATTATTTCAACGGTCCGGAAATAGTGTAAAAATGTAAAACAAAGCTAAATTGTATATTTTATACTATTTATACTAGTGAATAGGAAAACGATAATACATAACTTCATATTATTTTGTGAATTATATGTTTTACTAAAAAAATACCTTCCATATATTCGAGATTACTTACCACTTTTGTTATGTGCACATATGGAGAATATAAGAACAAAAATCCCGACGGATTCATAGTGAAATATAACATCGCAAATATACGATACTGTTAGTACAATGTCGAAGCACCAGATTGTTGTTTTGGAAATACGCACAATAACTGTGATAATAAAACTATACAGCCAATGTGTCCCGAAGAACTTGTTCGTGGAACACTATAAATTATTCTAAACCACATACAAGTGCGCCATTGTATATATTCACGTGTATAAATAAAATAGTTGACAATGGACTCGGTCCCGATAGTTTCGACAATTTGTAGAGATTAAAAAATTGAAAAAGTTGTCCTAGGATAATGGGGATGTGTACAGCCACTGTTATAGGTAATTTAACGTATACCTGTGAGTAACAATTAACGATTGCTGACGAAAAAACGATTCTGATTGGAGTTCGATTAATAGAGTTGGTTTGTCAACAATAAATATATATGTGTATCATATTATGGTAAAATAATGGCATAAGCATTATATATTTATTTTAATAATATTTGTTTAATATTATACCTATTTTCTCGTTTTCCCTACGTTTTTCACATTTTTTGAGGAAACTCCTGGGAAAATCAAGATAAGTCTCTTTAAAGTACATCTTCAGTTAGATTTCCTTTAAAAAAAATGCTATCATTGTAAATCGGAGCAAAGTTTCTGGTAAACAGGTTGTTCACAAATGAAGAAAAAACAATATATAATTGTAAAACCCAATACATTCTTCGCTCTGCTCAAAATCTAAAATAAACTGTAGTCAGATAAATGTGTTATTATTTTTGGAGTGAATATTGTCTATCGAATAAAATTACTAGAACAGCACAAGTATACCAGTGTGTTATAACTGACAGTCATTAAAATTTTAACAAGTTTCTAGAGACCGAGCCTATGCTCATTTGCAGTTTTGTGAGTTGGTAGAAGATACATGCAAATTTATTGACATCAATAAAAACGTATCCAATATTTTAATTTCTATATGGTAGATAGATAGATAGATACAATGTATTAAAAGCCTCAATAATTACATTTTAATTCATTTTATCAATACAATTTTTTTTCTTCAACTTTTGTATTAAAATTGTTTATGCTCAACCCTTTATATATTGGTAGTGTGACTTTCTCAAAAAAACTGTTTTCGGTGCACCCTACAATTTAATGTAACATTTTGTGTACGAAATGTCATTTATAGTAATTTCGTTGTCTGGGACGATAAAACTTTTGCGGGTAAAGAAATTGAAATTTATCCGTCTCATTAAAACAATTATTAAAGTTTAACGTTTAATTCTTCTTTCGAAATTTCTAGTAAATATAATAATTATTAAAGAGACACAATATAACTATATAATATTAGAACCAGTAATACGCTGATAAAAACGAGATGTAAGGATGAGAAATCGATTAAAACTGAATTAAGTCTTAGACTGATTTTAAGAGTTGAATTGAGTACGGTGTATTTTATAAAATATATTTTAGTTGAGTTCGGGTATAAGATATTATATAATTTGAAGAAAAGTCTTCAAAGATCCTAAATTAAATGAAATAACAGTGGGCAAAGGATAATTTATTCATGAGAAGATAAACCGAACGTATAAAATAAACACATTTGAAGATGTGAATATTTGTATATTCCAATTAATTTTAATTTCTATCTGAAACTCCATAGTAATTAAAATTATGTCACGTAATTATGAGAAAAAAAAATTGATTGTTGAACCGTTTTAAACAATAAAAATTCACATTATTCGGGAGATTCTTCGATTACCCTCCTTGTGGCGTATCCTAGATCAGTGTTTCTCAATCTAGGGGTGGCTAACTAATTATTTAGGGTGATCAAAAGTGTAATCATCAGATTACCCGCCGTATATAAAATACATATTTATTTGAGAGATTGCCAAATGCAGTAAAAATGTCAAGAAACACTGTCCTCGATAACGACAATAATACTCAAACAACCCAACTAAATATTCTCAGAAAAATCAAATGGGGTTTATTATCGTTACTCAGTGGCATAGCTAGGATTTTTCAATAGGGGGGTGGGGAGATTTACGATTTAGGTCTATACAATAGATAGGTATACATAAAACATATTATTTTAAATTTTGTGGAACTTTATTTAAAGCGTTTAAAGAAAAAAAAATTTAATTATATTAAAATTTATATCAACTGTAGTTTTCTTGTTTTAGTCGCTAATTTATTTAAGACATCATCAGGGTCTATCTAATGTTATCACTATGTATATTCATTATTGCCAAACTTTTCAACCTATTTTCATACGTGGTGTTTAACAAATATGTTTCCAATCTTTTTAATATTGAAAAAGATCGTTCACTGCTAGCAGTTGTAATTGGGAAAGTTGCTAAAATCTATAGAAGTTTGAAAGCGGCAGGGAAAATTGATGTGTTACGTATGTTTGAAGAACGGTGATATAATTTTTTGGGAAGTCTTCACTTCTTGTAAATTTTTGTTGCCATATATTAATTTCACTCTGATGTGTGAAATGAACAAAAAAGAACAAAAAACTCATAACAAAACTTATAATAATAAATATTAAATAATTTACAACATGCCAGAATGTTACATAAGCAATCATCTACTAGTTTCTAGAATATTAAAATAGCAATACTATTAATAAAGCTTCTGTTTGATAATAATATACTTTATATTTCATAACAATAACAAGGACAATAATTAATAAATAATATCACTACCAAGAAACCCATTTCAAATTATCCACGAAAAGCATAGAGGTTTTAAGTGTAAACGTAAATAAATAAATATTTATTTTTTTTTAAAACCAAATTAAAAACCCCATATCACCCACTTTACTGGTAAATTCAACATTATCAGGATTATTATTCGCAGATTCGACATTATCAAGTAATTTTAATTACTCGTGAATTCAACATTACAGTTAAAAATAAATAAATAAATATCATTTCAAATTTTTGTTAAGTTAAACAATTGTAATACATTGAATTTTTAATACTTGTGAAATAAACGATCAAGGCTACACAACACAATTATCACTTCCATCACAAATATCTCTTAAACAGTGTTGCCACCTTAATACGGCACATATTAATTCAAAGATTACGCTCGTCGCTCACTTAGAGGAGCCGATGTAGCTACCGAGGTGAAGTGGAAATCATCTGTGTGAGAGACCACGGAAGGCATAAATACGCCATTAGCGTCAGCCAAAAAGCCATTCTGATAATCTGTCTGAAAGTGTGACCGTGTAAGTTGTGTCACTTCTCTGAGTCCGCCCAGCAGAAGCAGACATTTTTTGAACGATCACTCCAATTATACCTTTTTTTCCAAACCTATACAGTAGCTGTAGATACCGAAGGTGGGCTACTGTATTTGATTCTCATTATTCTATATACCTGGTAATTGTGTTTGTTGTCACTATTCTTTTACTATAGATTGTGTATAGACGGCTATACACATGATGAAAAACGGTTGTCTATACGCCTGAAAAGGGATAGGATGACATATGCACTTATAAGAGTCTAACTCCATTGGCCACACGGCGATACGCATCTCGTTAATCGGTCGTGAATGCAGAACGGACGTGGTCTAAGTGCCGATGTCTAACTCGTTCACTTTCGTGAATTTTTTGTATATACGCTTAGAAAGGGCGGTGGAGAAAATACAATTCTCGCCACACTAACATTATCTATAAACATGGTTGCCGCGTTGTGAGACGAAGGCAAAAAGAGTATTCACACGACTATTGAGTACCTAACGAGGTGTATACATTGTAACCGATTCATCGATACTTATATCCCTTTTATCTTATTCCTAATATTTTGAGCAACGGACTTCTTGCGAACTTCAAGCAGAAAATATACAGAAAGTGTAATTCTTATATATTTTCGTAGTAGAATATTAATAAGAGTAAAATAGGCCTAAGTGAAATATAACTTCTTACGATAGGCAATAGTCATCGTCAATAAATATAATAGATGCATGTTTTTATCGACACAATATAGGTATACGTACATATATTACAATACAATCCAAACGACCGCGCGCACACACACATATAACCATTTACGCACACACTAAATCAATTTTGTCAACATATTACGCTGCGAGTCTATTCAAGGTCTTATCCGACCGATTGCGTGTTGTGGCAACACTGCCGTCAATCACCCTATCGATAGATAACGTTCGCGTCATACGTAATACATACGAATATGAATATATCTATACCTATTTATCTATTACCCCCTTATGCTTCTTCACCCTTCTATCCTCTTTCTCCTTTCCACCCTTTCATCTATCCCCTCTTCCTTAAACACTATTTTAATTCTACTACACAATGTAAAAATCTGTCAATTTGATTAATATTGTATTTAAAATACATACCCCATAATCAATTATTTTAGATTCTGACAGTTCTGGCCGTTCTAAGGTGGGCTGCAATTTCTTAAAATATCCTAAAAGATTATTAGTTTGTTTGTGCTTTTGGAAGTTTGAATGAGATAGTTCCATCTTGGTTTTAAACTGTTTGTTAGGTATCTACTTAGCACATGAATAGTATAATTTATTAACACAAAAGATACAAGACATTAAACACCTTATTGTCAATTGAATAAAATAATTTATCAATTATTATTGAAGCAGTACGAATATTATGATGAGAGAAAAACCGTTTTCGTACATGATAAATTGATAACTAATATAAGTGATAAACTGATAACATGAAATATCGATAGTCCAATATGATGTTACGTACGTTTTCATATATATTGCTACGTACCATTGTTCAAATAAGAACGCACCGTACGTGTATTCATCGTTATCAGCGGCAAAACAACATAAGATGCGTAATTTATTATTCTACGATTGGTCACCATCGGTTGTATATACTTATCTATGGTTATCTACCACAGTCTACTATCGACGATACCGTGCGTACAGGGAATTGAATAACTAAAAAAATTATTAAATAAAAATCAATGAGGAGTGAGGATACAACACCCGAACCCCCCGCCACTGTCGTTACTTGATAGTAATGATAAATCATTTTATCAAAAACCAATAGTCATATTATTATGCGTTATCCATAATAGCCGAGATCTTATTAACGTGTATTAGAACAATATTATGATATTATTGTTTGATATTTTTGACTGTGAGTTGTGGGTACCGATCTATTTGTATTGACTCCCCGGACAAATTAAGTAATTTTTGACGTAACCACGAACGTGAAATATTAATGAAGCAAGAGCAATTTATTAATGCTGTACACGGCCCCGCACCTTTTATTATTTAGTAGTTACGTGTTTTGATCGTTATTTATTTTATATTTTTAATACTCGCATTGTGCCTACTGTGCATGACTCGTGAATGATAACATAATATCCGTGTCGGCTAAAGTTTCGGAGAAACATAATGTTATCATTGAAATACAGCAACAAGTTCCAGTAAAAAATTCCGTTATAAAATAATTTCATTAAAATGTGTTTTATATTCTGAGCGTCAGGTGTAATGGTTTCACTGTGATGAGTGTTTTTTTTTTTTACTGTATTTGATAGCTACTGTTTACAACATCAAAGGATTTAACTGATAGAAAATGTTGTCCATAAAATGTCTATATAGTTTACGAGTCCGGAAAGTAATATTTCGATCATATTTTTGGAATTTTCTGAACGACAGAGGAAATAATACCGGGAAAACGGAAACATACCCAATATAATAATAACGGTTAATGTTAATTTCGATTTTGTTTATTCGTTATGATTCCAGCATAAAAAGATGTGGATATGGAGGGTGGGGGGGGGGTTAGGATAGAAAATCTTTTTCCCATATAAGTTCTACACATATACTGTTCGGACTAATACGGCCGATCGGTATTATCGAAATAACGATGACAAAGTGCCTTTCATACAATATTCATTATAACGCGAATACGCACATAATATTCTACGGGTGTATTCAAATATACCTATATCTACTATATAATATCATTATTATATATTACGGCTACACCAGAAATTTACATTAATAAAGTACGATTCACCTGCGTGCGCGTTATTTCAGCCTATATGTTACGATAACATGTTCGATCAGTACCTATACATCATATTATGATGTTGTTATTATTTCGGAAACATAAAATGGTTTTTTTCTCTCTCTTTCTAAAATAAATTATAACGACAAATCCATAAACAAACACACCTATTATTAAATATAATTTACGTGCAAGTACCGTATATTGTGTTAACTACGTGAACAGTCGGTCGGGAAGACTACAATATGACGCGCGATGCATACAACGAAAATTAATATTTGTAACCGTCGAATGACGTGCTTAGTCGGAACGGAATTGACGTAACACGTTAGAATTTCCTCCTTGAAAACGCTAAAATAAAATTATTGTCCCTAGCGAGAAAAACGTACAAATAATCGATACAAGAAATTTGAATTCATTTGCGATTTATTATAATTTATAATAGTTGTTATTCCAGTAGGTGAATTGTATTATTACAATATACACATTAAATTACATCCAAAACAAATTTCACTGGACACTCTTAATCAAAAAATTGCCAGGACAAAATGTTTTTTTAGCATTTGTTCTTTATTTTTTCAACTGCTAAAATACATAATAATACATTAAAAATAACTTTGAACAATATATTGCCCATTAAAAAAAAAAAAAAAAAAAAATGGGGGGAGGGTGACATTATAAAACTTTCTTTATAACAGTGACTGCAACCATTTATTTTAAGTTCAAATTTTGACAAAAATCTTAAAAATAATGGTATTTCAATGTTTACATATATAACTGAAGTAGGTCTCTCAGTCGGATCTCCGAGGGGGGGGGGGGGAATTTTGTTAGCGTCCGTAGGAAAGAAACAATACAACATCCATATAAATATACACTTGGAATGTGAAAACCATAGCAAGAGGAGAGAAAATAAACAACGAAGAGAATGAACATTGACGTAATCGGTATTAGTGAGATGAGATGGACATAAATAGGATGTATAGATTAAGATGAATACAGATTGGTATTTTATTCAGGCTCATTAGATAGGAAACTGGAACGTGGAGTCTGGGTGATAACAACAAGAAATATAAATAAATGTGTGACCAATTTACACTAGTACCCGACAGAGTAATGATGAAATCGAAGAGTTAATAGAAAGACTCCCCAAACATGAAATAAACATTGTAATGGGCGATTTCAATGTCAAATTATAATAAATTGGATTAGGACAGAGAAATGAAAAAGGTCACAGGTTGGAATTATTTATAAAAGACAACTAATTAGTAGTAGACACAAATATGTCTGGTATAGTTAATGTTTATAATATTATATTTACCCAAATAAACTTAACTACTAAATATAATGTGGTATTAACAGTTGGTTTATTTAATCGTGTTTACTATTTTTGATCTTAGGTTATATTTTTCTCTTTATTTTTTGGTCTAATACTCTAATTAGCATATGAATAGTTAGGTTTGAACTAATTAACCAACTTTATAGAATTTTAAATTAACAACTTTATTTTCGTATCTAAAATGACCACAAGGTATTTTTTAAATAAATATATATACGTAATCAACTTGATCTTAATATTTTCGTCCCTTATTTGGTCAACCATTTTTACATTTCATAATTCATAATAGTACTTTTGACTCATTGTTGTTTAATTCTTGAAATAAAATTAAAATTAATATTTAAACAGTTTTTTTATATAGTCAATATTTCATATGATTTAATACGCATATTCATGCGTCATTTGGTATTATAATTTTAAAGTAAGTAAACCTTATTTGGAAAGTAAAACGTCATATTAAATTCTGAAAGTTTATCATTTGACGAAAAACTGAAATGTTCTATAGTGATGTATGAATATTGAATATAATATAATATTACACCGAATTCTGTATATTTTTACATTACTTTGTGGAATGTCCTTTTGAAAATATATTTGATAAAAATCTTATTCTGAAAGACATAAAATTTAATGTAACAAAAGTGTAAAAAATAACTATTCTTCATACTTATTATAGAAATGAGAAATTCTCAACTCATACAAATATAGCTTTTATGTGACGTTTTATTTGTTACATACATAAACGCGTAATTCATATTCCGTAATGTACAAAAATAAAAAAGAGCTGATACATGGGAGTGGAGAGGCCTTTGGTTAATCGTTGTTTATAGATATACACTGAATTCTCGTCTACATACTACTTTTCATAAAGGTCATTTTATGATTTTCTAAGCGGTTTTCATAATGTCTCGGAAAAACCAGAATAAAACGTAAGAAATACGGAAATGAATGCTATTATTATTTTATCAATTTTGTTATATATTGTAATTCAGTTAAAATATTCGTACAGACTTGAAAATGTATAGAAAACTTATATTTGCCTTTTATAGACGTGGTCAAATTTTCAAAAAATTTAAGCCATTTTTGGGCTGTTTATAGACATTTTAATTTTGAGAGTTTTTACATAATTTTTAATCGGTACGTACTCTATAGTAAAATTGTTAGACTTGACAGTAATGCTTGAAAATTTAACAGGAGGTTCATTAAATCGTACTTTATGGTAAAAAAAAAAAAAAAGAGAGTTTAATGTAGTATTTGTTTTTATAAAGGAATTTTGATACTACATTTTGACGAAAATTGTTTGAGTAAAAAATTATGTGGAACAAATCAAATTTTTCAATTTTTTTTTCGATCATATGTAAATTGCCGATTTAAGAAGGATGGTAAAGTCAAAATTAAGTGGACTGACTAAGTTTTGAAGTTGTAGCATTTTGAAGTTCAGATATTATGCAGATATTACATGTTTATGTTAAAATTTTATATTATTCGTTTGTTGTAGTCATGAATACGTATTGTCATACTAGGGGTTGCGGGTTCGAATCCGGGATTTGAAAAGAAATTGCGAACAATTTCTTTCTCCTTTTATCAAAATAGAAAGACAATTTAATACATTCAATACATTTTAAGTGTACCTAGAAACCTAGTTATCGCTCCCTTGGACGATTATAATCAATAAATATTTTCGATTTGTTTTGCAAACTATTCTACCAGAAAATATTGTTCCCGTGTATAAAAGTGTAGCTTATTTTCAGAAAAGAAAATTTATCTTCATGGTTTAGGAGGTCATTTTTGTGATTTATAAATCGGTTTTAATAATAACTAAGAAAAACCGAGATACAATGTCAAAAAAACAGAAAATGTACGAAATGTAGGTATTAGTAAAAAGATAATATATTATAATGGTCTTATTTTTCTGTAAAACCAATACATTTTCCTTCCTCAATTAAGAACGAAAAAGATATAACGAAAATTTGATGAAATAACGATATTCAAAAGGTGAACTCGATCAGTACTCCACCTAGTTGTAGACAACTTTCAAAGGTGCCTACCGATAAAATGCTATATTTTCCTGATGATTTATTTATTTAAAAAAAAAAAAATCATCGTTTTATTCAATGATGAAATTTATATAAGTTATATCTTACAAGTTTCAATTATAGAAATCTAACTTACGAAATTTATTTTATTTTATTTATTTAATATTCATTGAATTAGTCCAATGTATGTAATACTATAACTATTTATTAGAGTTTTCAATTTAATGGCTACAGATTTTACTAGATTTTAATAATTTACAGTTCAGTTTACTCAAAAAAAAAAAAAAACAATTATTTTGACTACGTCATAATTATACTTCTTCAAAATGTTTAAATACATTTTTAAAAAATGACTAAGTACTAAAATAAATTATTAAATACCGATAATTTGATATCATAAATATAAAAAAGAAATTATAAATGTAGAACTTTACCTATGTGATATTATTTTTAAAGAAAACTATATAAAAGTATTTATAATAACTTTTCAAAACTATCTGAATTCTTGCTCAAATATTGTTTTAGTAATGAAGTCAAATATGAGTATGAAATATACGAATATTGAAAAGTAATATCTCTATTTATTACTTTTAAAATTTCGTATTTCATGTCTATAATATTTGATCATAAAAGTCGTGCACTACATTTGAAATTCACCGAGAAAAAAAAATAAACAATTAGATAATTTTCAACCTTAAAATACATTTATTTATAAAAAAAAAATACATGTTAGGAATTTTATACATTTTATTCAAAATAAAGGAAAACGTCTTTTGGGTAGTCTACAGATAATGTTTATTATATAATTTTAATAGATGTAATCATTGCGCGATTACAAAGTTAAAAGTTTTCTTTAACATTTTACTAGAAAATGACCAAAGTATTGGGTCAATAATTTAGTACATATTTTTTGTGAATCCAATTTTTTAAACAATACTATATCTTTATAACATATAGTAATATGATATAATTAAATTAAACATTTCAAAAATGTATATTTTCATCATTGTATCCAAGGGAAATTTGACGCGGTCTATAATGACCTAGAGATTTCATCAGCAAATTATGAATATGAAAGTCATTCTTGTAGGTGTTTTTGAATCTATCAATGATTTTATGAATATCTTTAATGTATAACTCAGAACGATGAAGAAATGGAATATTAGCCGCCAAATTGTCATTTATGCTTCTCATAGTATTTGTGTTAGAAGGAAAGGGGATAATAGGAATATTACCTCCCAATCTCATAGATATTGAAATTTCATTTAACTTTTTCATTCCTAATTTTAAAACCTTTGTAAAGCTTGTTATTCTGTCCGAATTATTTGCAATTTCATTTACTTTTGCATATTTCTTGGAGACATTATTATATATCGTTGGGAATAATTTGATTTCCTCTAACAGTTGAATAAACAAAGGGTCTGTATTTAACTCAGTGTATTCTAGTATTTTTTGTATACTCTGCATTAATTCCTCACTAAATCCACATGAGTAATTGTATGTGAACAAAAAGTGATCATTTTTTGATTCCGTTTTTTTAGCGATATAGAATTGGTTGATATTGTGACATTGTGACAATATCATTAAATTGCCCCTTATCAAATGTATCTGCAACAGATTTATTATGTAGTTGTGGATACGAATTGATGTATCAATCATTTTCTTAGAATCATATGCAGGAGATCGAATTTTTTTATCAAAACTAATATTTTTAAGGAATTTCAACCTGAGCTCAGTCCATAACTTATCATCTGAAGGAAAACGTCTGTCACCTGTCAATTTCATATCTAAAGATTCCCAACGAAATAAATTTATGTAATTTTCGTTTATTTGGAATTCTCTGAATAACCACTTTGATGGTGTAAACTTTTCATAATTTGTATATGACAAATGTTTAGAATTAAATTCAAGTAAATAAGCTACTTCAACTAAATTAGAATACAGAACATCAACATATGACATCAGTGAAAAGTCTTTTAACTTTAATAATTTATATTCACGTAGCAGGTTAACATATAATTTATCATTTCTGTTATCGTTATAGAATTGCATACCTTGTACATCAAAAAACGGAGGTTTCAATTTTTTTGGGTTGATTTTAGATTCAACTTCTTCTAACAATGATATAATAATCATAATCTTAGATATCGATAATCTAATTTTTTTATCAATAATTCCCGACTGTTTAATATCCTGACTTTCCTCCATACAATATAAAACCAAATGCACCATCCATTCCGGAGGATAGTAATTATTATTAGTGAATGTTGCAATCGTCATCAGTGATATGTCATAATATAATTGTATTAGGTATTGACCATAATCATAATTTTTTTTTTTACCGGGAGTTAGTTGAATGTATTGTAGAAAAAGCAATGCTTGATTTAAATGAACTAATGCATAATGCAAATATAACATGTGAAGTTTATCCATAATAGAGTTATTTGTATTTTTAAGCATGGAAAAAAATGACCTGTCTAATTTCGTAGAACTGTTTACATTTGTTAATTGTTTGTTAAATTCGACCAATTTATCCATTCCTAGAGGATACCAAATGGTATTAAACACTATAGAATTGATCAGAGATTTAAATTTAAATATCTGTTTAGTTTCAGAATTTGTTTCTATTTCCTGCGACATTTTCATATCTATTTCATTTAAGTTTGATGGTTTAATAAACCTGGGCCGGTGAAAATCTCCATAATTTTTGAAAGGCACGATTGATTTATTTTTATCAAGAATGTAATAAGAATCTAATATATTATATTGTACATTTTCTGCGATTTGTTTTAACTGTGAATATAGATAAGTGCCACATATTCTAGAACTGCTTGAGTGATTTTCGGGAATTTTCTGAGAGGAGAATTTGTAAGGAAAATATTTTTTTGTGATATAATCGGGTGCTTTGTGTTTTATTAACAAATCATCTACTGTCATTGTATTTAAACTGTACATTTCTTTGATCAAATTTATTGTTAATATCTCTTCGTTTTCTGAATCGAAAGATAACATTATATTTATATTCCTTTTTTCTGTTGGTTGTAATATAGGCACATTGCATTTGTAACTTGAATTAAACACTATTAAAGTGTTTAAGAGAACTGCCAAATCTTCATGCAATTTTTCCGAACAATCTTTTTGTAAAAATGGAATAATTTTAAACATCCATTCTGGTGGATCGTACCCAAGGTCGGATATTGTTGTCAGCATTTTCAGTGCAATATTTAAATATGATGAATTTATTGTGGAAACCGTGATAATAATTTCATCGATTAACAAATCATTATCTACAATTGTATAGAGTTCTTCCAAATGTCTTTGTGCGTAGTATGCATATGTGCACGTTAAGTTCCTCACCCTATCGTTCATCGTATTGGTAAGGTTTTTAACCATTATTGAAGTATTGTCTCTGTTGTACATATTTGTATTGTATCTAATAAAATGGTCATTCGTAGTCAGGGATTTCCAAGTAACTAATGGATTAGTTAAACTTACCCATTGATTGAGTGTTCTATAACTGTTATCTGTTGTGAGCTTAGCATTAATATTTATGAAATATAATAAAAAAACTAATATCTGAAATATATGATCGCGAAATAACATTTTTAATGAATTAGGAAAAAGAACCGTTTTAATTTTAATTGACTGTATTCAAAGAATTCCGTTAACGCACTAATTTAGTATAATACATACAAAATATACTGAATATCCAATTTACGATTTGTAATTTTATATAAGCTTCGCAGTGTAAACATGTTTTGAAGTATCTTTTTATAAATTAATATACAAGGTGGCTAACAATAAAGAACACCGCCATAATAGCATTATAATACAAATATAAAATTCTATAATATAATATAATTTATATGTCCCATAGGATCAATTTTTTTTTAAATTCTGTCATAATTTAATTATTTTAATAAATGACGTGTTTTTATAACAGTCTTTACTACCACTAAAGATGGTGATGATTTTCATTAGAATGTCAATATCTCGAAAATTATATATATATATATATATATATATATATTAAATATTTTAATTTTAAAACCACTACAGACTTTTGCTTTTTTAATGGTCACAAAAATATAAAGTGTTAGCTGAGATAAATAAAAGTTTAATTTTTTTTTTAGTTTGTTGTTTATTTTCTATCAATCTATATTTTCTTCCACAGGAAAATTTTTTTTCTTAGGTTGTTATTATAAAATAAATTAAAATTTATGTGTATAAATAAGATAATATTTAAATTTACGACTATCTCTGAGATATTGATTGAATATAATTCATCACCCGCAAGTCAAATAAAATTTGCAAAATTTGCTGTCATAGTTAATGAGATCACAAATTTATTCAAAAAACGGGTTTGAACCCTCAATCTCAATGAAGACAAGTATGAATAACCATTAGATTACGAACAATATAATTTAAAAAAGACAATGTAAAGTCATTGAACATTAAATATAATATTAGAACTTTAAAATCTATATTTAAAAATTTAGTCATTCCGACCAATTCTGACTTCTCTGTCACTTTTAAATCGGCAATAAACAAATGTTCAAAACAAAAATAGAAAAATAAGATTTGTTTCAAACAAGATTTTACTCAAACGAGTACAATTTATCTTGATATTTTATATAACTGAATAAAAAAACTAGAACATATAATAGGTATGTATCTCAAATCCGCTAGAATTTTTAGATAATTGCACCTCGTTTCAAAGGTGCTTCTACAGAAGTAGTTGGTGAACGTTTCAGGTGTATACAATTATTTTTAAATTATTACATTTTAAAATAAAGAAACTGCATATAAATTCACAGTTTTATTATTACGTACAGTTTTATGGTTTCCGTTATTTTTCCATAACTAAGACAAATACAAGAAAAAGCAAAAAAATGTACTTCTGAATGCGCTAACTAGATAAAATGTTCTATTAGAAACCACTCCTAAATCTTGGTAAAAATGTTGTTAAGATACACTGAAAATAGGGCTATCATAGAAAAAATATTAATCAGTTCATACATCACTTTATTGGTATAATAAAAGTACATAATATATCAATATATATACTACTACCGACTAATGGTTACTTGAAATATCTATTTTCCCATCTATATACTAGTCTGGTGAAATTAATTCAATACATAATAAAATAATTAAGTCATAAAGTAAAACCAAAATTATTAAAATGGTTAATACTCGTAAATAAATATACAAATAAAAAATGTATGCATAAAAAAAAAAATAAATAAATGATTCAATGGCCGCCAGGAGTATTATGATAAGTGCATTAGCACTAGTAATTATACGACCGGTTTCGAATTAAAAATTCGATATCAGGTATATAACAGTCAAAATGTAATAAATGTTAAATTAATATTATACATGTTTTAATTCGAAATCGGTCATATAATATACTGATCATATTACTTCAGGCGACGCATCGATTCATTTATTTATTTTATTTTTATGTATATATTTCTTATACATATAATTATTTACTTTATGAATTCAATATACTACTTATGTTTGCTGGAGGAAAATGAATGGTAGTATAGGTCAGTGAATTGTGTATTTTGTATTTTTTCTACAGGGTGGAAACTAACATTTCGTTGTAAGAACCCAGGGTGTGTATTACAAATGTGTACACACAAGACATGACTCACCTTTAATGAAACCATTTTTTTTTTTTTCAAATTTTAGTAATTACATTATAAGATAACATATGAACTTTTTACCACTATGACTGCGCTTTTTACACAATTATCAGAGTTATAGAATCACACGAGGATTTATTTCATATTTTTATTTATTCAAAATTACCATTTCGTATATAATAATTAACCTTTATATTATACAAATTATATTTGATTATATTTGATGATACATATACATATATATTTGTAATAAGCCATAGATGTGGATCACCAAATTAATTCCTGCGTGTCAAAAATACGTCATTAGTGTAGGCTTTGTACATAATTATTTCTTAGAAAAACATAAAATGTTATCGTTGTTTGTTTACCAGATAATACATATGGTTGGAAAAATAAGGCGATGTAAGTTTTAGATTTTCGGCATAGACCAATAAATTATGTCAGCTCATAATGTAGGTTAAAATAACAGAACTAAATATATCATTTATATTTCTATATTAGTTCGAGTGCGTAAAAAATCATAAATTTGTCAAATAATAAAAATTTGTACAGTATTTAGTTTCTGTAATCATGTATTATCTTGAGGACTTATCATCATTATGTATACGTTTTTTAATGTTTATTATCATACTGAACAATGATTAGTAAATCAGTATAATCACATACTTTTCTGATTTAAACTAATGTTTAATTAGAATATTAATTATTTTTCGATTAATTATTTTAAATTTCTACGGCTTATGTTTTCTACCATAAATATTACTTCAATTCAAAAAAAGCCAAGAGATATTTTCTGTTGAATTTGTAATCTAGTTGGTGAATACAAAGCGCGGGTTTTAGTTTTAGTTTTTTAATAATTGAGCAAAACTAAAATGTCGTAGTAAAACTAGAAATTTTAAGCAAATAAGTCTTTTATACATTTCTAAGACAAACTGTTAGACTAACAGAAATTTTTCCCACAGGAGGTTCATTACGTTCACACGTCGTACTTAATGGTCATCTATTTTTTACTAATTTTCATTATTTTTTTTTATAAGTTTTAAAATCCAATTTTATGAAAATCGTAAATGTTACGGAGTTCTAAATTTGTATAATTGAACTCGGTTTGAATCGTTTCCCATGTTCAATGGTTTTTTTTAATTACAGGTATATATTTAATAATTTCACTCACTACCCAATTATATAAATATCTGCACCCGTCCTCATTACTCTTTTTTTATTATCATTTGTTAAAAATCTTGGTTAGTAAAATTATAAACCTACCATCTTTATAATTAATTATATATTATAATAATAATAATAATATATTATATAATACATGGCGTTTTTTATACAATTTTTTTTTATCTATACAGTACTTTAAGTAACAACTCCAAAGATTTTTATACCATGTACAGAAGATAAGTACAGATTTATTCTCTATGACGGTTGGACGTTTGTCGTTGTGCTGTATCTTATCCATTTTTTTTTGTGTCTCTCTAATTGCTCCGTCTCGGGCAGTTGTTTCGTTTTCGTGTCCATTATGCTTTTATTAGTGTTTAGCTATTCTATTTTACTTCCTAATATAACACCGACGGTGTTATCGGCCTTACTTTTTATCCAAACATCAGCTGCTCATGATTCAAAATTAGAATTAATAAGATGTTGCCTAGATTTGACTTGTCTAGCGTTTTGTGTCAATTTAGTTGCCTACCTCTTTATTTTAAAGAAGGTTCGTTTTTGACATTTTTCCGTTATGCGTATCACTCAGACTATTTCCAGTAACAATATTCTCCTAGTGCATCTGTTTCCAATAACGATATAATGGCTTTCATTATGAATCTTAAAGCAGACATTTGCTCCTCCAATGAGTCAGTTTTTGACAAATTGGCTACGAAATTTAATGAGCTTAAAGTGGAATTGAAGCGCGGCTTTAATCATGTTCCCAACTAAATTTTATATGGTGTTTCTAAATCTACTTTACCGAATACCTCTTCAAGGATTGAACATGTTAAACCTACCATTTATAATGCTCATGATTCACTTAAGAATGCTTTTTTTACTAACTTTGAGTTAATTTGTCTTGGTAAATCTCGTGCTGACTTTACACATCCAATAAAAGTTATTCATGAATCCAAAGATGTTGTTTTGAACCTTTACGCTGCATTTAATTCTACTGTACCTTCTGGGAACCATTTACCTGAAGGTTTTGGGATGATGAGGAACAGAACTGTCGTAGGCTCTTACGTTCATGCTACGAGGACTTTAATAGAAGAGTCAGTGACTGGCTTGCGTGTAGTGTTCGTGAACGGGCTGTTTACTGTTGGTTCAGCTATGTCAAAAAAAGAGGACGATCGATCCCACTATCATGCTAGCTTATCATAACTTCTTCACCTCGCTCTGATAAAATCTTGACATTTTATCAAAATGGTTGTGGACTCAGAACAAAATTAACTAAAACAGTATGTAATATATCTGCATTTAACTATTTATTTATTGTAGTAACGAAACCTAGTTAAATAATAACTTTACTAATTGCAAACTTGGTGTATATAACTATAACATTTTTAGGTGTGATAGGTGTACTGATACGAGTGTATTTTTACGGGGCGAAGGTGTCGTCAATGGTCTTTGTAAATATTTTACAACTTTTCTTATTTCTGTCCCTGACCTTAATGTTGAGCATATTTTTATTCACTTTACGATTGGTCAATTTAGTTTTGTTCTAGTTGTTGTTTATATTTCCCTTAATTGTTCACCTTTCATTAATGAATCGCATATTAACTCTATTTAGCACATAAGAATGAACTTCCTTTCAAATACCTTTATTGTATATGATGACTATAATTTGATGTATAAGTTGTTCCGGCTGGCCTTTATCACACTGCGTTAAATTTTTTTCTCTTAATGAATCAGTCTACTACTTACTAAAATCATAGTTACACATTCTACAATTTTCGAAAATTCACATTTGAAAAAGCCCGTTTGTTCTTATTGTCTTTTGATTGGTACTCAACTTTCCAATTATATTATGTGGATGGAGCGTTTAATATCTTCTTTGATGTCTTACATATATGGGTTCTCAATTTTGTTCCGAGGTGTAAATTTACTAATTCAATATTCCCACTATAGGTTAGTAAGGATTTTAAACAAATTTTATTTTTAAAGAAAAAGGCATATATAATATTCAAGTTATCCTTCAATGCTTACGACTATAGGGAATTTTTTTTGATACATGCTGATTATAAGTACAAATCTAAGAAATGTTTTCGTAGGTTTGTTGAGCGTATTGAATCTTCATTAACTATTACCCCTTCAGATTACTAGAATTTTGTTAAAAATAAAAGATCTTTTTGTAAGGTTCCTAAGGAGGTTTCTTTTAATGAATCAACTACTGGTGAGTAAGAAGGTGCCAGTCTATTTTCTACGTACTTCTCTTCTGTTTTCTCGGATGCTCATTTTGATCGTGATACTTCCTCGTTGGAAATCCTTTCTTTTGACTTGCCTAATTATGTTGATTTTACTGTTAAAAAAGTTTTTAAACACTTATCTGACTTGTTTGGTAATTGGTCTGTATTTCCTAATGGTTTATCCCATGAGTCTTTATATCAGGTTAAAACTATCATAGAAGGATTTTTTTCTTTAGTGTTAAAGTTTAGCTCTGTTACACCTGTAAAAAAATTTGGTGATTTTTCTAACGTATCCAAATATCATATGCTTGCTATACAATCACATATTCCGAAAATATTTGAATAACTGTTCTTGCATTGTATTCATCCATCGATCACTAGAATTCTTCTGAAGGAACAGCATTGTTCTCGCCCTGATCGTTAAACCACCTGTAATTTAGTTTTTAACAATTATGTTTACAAATCTTTTAATTTGATGTCACGGATTGACGTCTTTTATACTGATTTCAATAAGGCATTTGATTTATTTGCTCACAATGCCTTTGTCAGGTACTCAATTTAACTGGTATTGGCGAACCATGCTTTTTCTGGTTTTTTTGTCTTACCTCTCACATCTTTATTAATGGGTTAATTTGCTTTGAGTAAATGCAAATATTTGTCTTGCAACATCCGATGTTCCTCAAGGAGGACAGCTTCCTCTGCTTCTGTTATCCTTATTTATCAATAGTGTCTCAAGTCTTCTTTCTCAAAGCCATATTTTATGTTTTACCGACAATATAAAACTCTACTCTCGTATATCTTCTTGGAGAACTATATCTTGTAACAGAATGAATTTGATAAATTCAATGAGTGGTTCATTTTAGTAGGGATATCTTTCAATATTTCTAATTGCAAAACCATGACTTTTTCCAGGATTCAGTCCCTTGTTGTATATTCATACTATCTCAGACCTACTATTCTTTCATGCTCTAATAGCAGTGTTACAGATCTAGGGTTTATTCTAAGTTCTAAGTTCTTATTCTAATTTGAAATTTTGATCCTAGTTCCATTATTGAACATATTTGTTGTAAGAATTTTAGAACTCTGGAGTTTGTCTTAAGTTTGTGTAAAGAGTTTCGGTTAAACTTATCATTTAAGGTGTTATATTGTGCACTTGTATGCCTTATTCTGGATTATAATTCCGTAATTCGGGAAGGCATCAATAGTTGATTAAAATTGAAAAGGGTCCAATGAAAATTGTTGAGGTAAGCAAGCTTTAAATTTAATTTCTTTCGTGAACTTCATAACTATAAATCTGTTGCTTCGCAACTTGGTTTGGCGGTCTTTGCTAAGCGTAGACGTATTTCTAGAATTAAGTTATTTGATGGTTTGTTACGAGGTGATATTAACTCTCCTGAATTACTTAATCTGCTTCGGAGTACCTCAACGTTCCTCTGAACCATCGCTTCATTTTATGTTCCCTTTGTCTCCACCAACTATCTTAAATATAAACACTTCGGACGTATGATGACGAATGCCAGTTTTGAACCTTCGTTTTTTTTTAATCTTTTTTTATAATACCTGTCTAGTTAGGTAGTAAGTAATAAGTAGTAAGTAGTTGGTATTAAGCTTTAGGTAATAAATTGTAATAATTAATGTGGATATGTTAATTGTAAGTATATATTATGTTAAAAAAGATAATTCCGTATACATAATAAAAATAAAATAATATAAGTTTGTATACATTAATTGGAGTTTCAAAATTATTCTATTTTGATGAACCATTTCAATACTAAATGGTATTTAAACTACACATTTTCTGTTTATGGAATTTTTGATATCACCCCAAAAATAATTGTAATAAAGAATAAAAAATATTTAACATTTTGGAGCTGATTAGACTAATTCTAATAAAAGTTAATTTTTTTAAAGATAATGTGTGTCTTCTTTTATGGTGATCACTATATTTTTTTTTGTGATGTATAATTATAATTAGAGATCGGATTTGTATGCATTTTAAATTGTAAAATATGCATGCAAACATGCACTAAAAAAAGGCAAGATATGCAAGAAAAAAAAGCAAAACATGCATAATAAAGTTTAAAATTTTATATTTTATTTAAATTTTGCAGTGATAATTAGTTATTAATTTTATTAAAATTTCCATAAACAAAATAAGTAAATAAGTAAATAGTACATATTGGTATATAATGGGGAAAAAGAACGACAAATTTAATGTAGTAGGCATGTTAATAGGAAAAACAATAAGTTATTAAAGTGTGTTCCATGTTTATTTCTGTAAAATTATGACGACGATCTGTAAGGATGTAATTGTAAGATGAAAAACTGCGTTCAACGTCAACATTGGTTATTGGTGCATATTTAAAATTGGCTAATACATCCGGTGAATAATTTGGAACAGATAAATCATTGAAGTTAGCAATGACACCTTGAAGTATTTTCGAAATTTCTTTTAAAACCATTAGTCCTTTATTTTTATCGAAAACATTTTTAAATTTCGTTTTAATTATTGTACTATTTGTGCTCGTAGGAAGTTCATTGATAGAATTATCTACTTGTTTTATAATGTTTAACGAGTCTACAAGTGCCGAATTAGAATTCAAGCACTTCGATGCTTTTAACGATACATGAAAAATGTAATTGAAAATGAAAATGTAATGAAAATTTCCACTATGTAAGTTAAGTTAACGTATTTTTAGCGTCCGAATATTCTTTGTAACGTAAAATATTTGATATATTAACGTACCTATTATCTTTTTGTATTTGTTGGACATTAATTTTTGTTAAAATATGCAAGAATATGCAGAATATGCACTTAAGTAAGAATATGCAAAAATATGCAGTATAAAATTTTGATATTTAATTAGTTAGGTAATGATTTTTGGACACTCATTAACTGCATGTATATGATGTTGAAAATAGCAACATGTATTTCATGCAAAATCCGGTCTTTAATTATAATGATACATTTTGCGTATAATACAGAAATACGTCACTTGTGATAGTATAAATTATGCATTTCGAAGAGCAGAAGCGCCACACGCCCATATAAACAATTAATGAGCACACATCCTTTCTATATGAATACAAAAGGCCAAGCTGATAATTCTCATTTCTTGTGAATAAAAAATAAAAAATTCAATAGGTACTATAAAAAGAGTAAAAGCGTTATAGCATAATACTAATACATTAGGATACTGCATGAACTAACGGTTATGTCTTAATAACAACTCGTTGATTTTCACTGTTATATTATTTTATTACATCAAAAAACTTAAAATGACATTTATATATAGGGATATATAGCATGTAAAACTAGTAAACAATATTAGATTGATTTGCACAAAAAACATCAGAAAGTTTCAGAACTCCGTCGTTATAGATTGATGTTCCCCACCCTCTAAATGGCTAGTAAACAAATCGTTAGTAATTCGTATTAAAAATGAATTATACATTCTAAAATTCATCAGTTATTACTTTAGTAAAGAGTTAAATTTCCCAATAATATATTCGAATAACTTTCAAAACTCGAATATGTAACACACCTAAGGGGCACTCTCTCTACATTTACCTTCTAATTCCATAGTACTAGAAAACAAACGAAGTTAAAGAAGAAGTTTCCCAGACACTACACCTAAAGTTAATAATCAAAGTAAAATATTTGGTAGCAGTAACGCAGAAAACAATAAAATCAGATAGGGCTAATTTAAAAAATTATGACCACCACCTAATGAACAATATTTTTTAAAGTTTACAGAATAAATTAACCACGTGATATATTGTCAGAATCCTCAGGATCTCTCTGATTTTCCGAATCGGCGGCAAATACTGTCTATATCGCTCATTCGACGCGCGTCATTAGAAACGCAATAACTCAGCAAAATTTTCGCTACTTAATCTCTATATTTGTAATTATTTGCGTACAGATTTGTATATTAAGTGGTAGACTACGTTTTTCCTGTTATTAGTTATCATTCTCCGTTTTATTTTTGGTGAACAAACCTATTATAATTCCATTAAATATAAATTAACTCGATGTAAAAAATATTTAAGCTTGTATTATAATTATCTCTCTGTAAATTTGTAAATCAATGCAAATGAAAAAACAATTCTGAGCAGAGTTCGGCTGAAAGTATTCCTTTGTCATCAATATAAATATGTATATGCCACATTGTAGAAAAATCATTAAATATTTATGTTATACATTTTCTGTAATAATATTTATTTAACATTGTACCTGTTTCCCCGTTTATCATACGTATTTTCCCTGTTTTCCGATGTTCCTCCCAGTCTTACAATGTTTTTTCACGGTTTTTCCATTTATTAGGAAAATTACTGAAAAAACCAAAAAATTACCTCCCTATCGTATTTTCCAACAGATCATAATTTCTAGTAGAAAAGTTGTCCACAGAAAAAAAAGAAAAAATTATTTTAAAACCAATACATTTTCTTCCTTCAACTTAGAACCAAAAGATATAATAATAATTTGATGAAACAACGATGTTTAAACGGAAAATTCGATCAGTACTCCACCTAGTTGTTGACACCCTTTAAAGTTGCCTACCTATAAAATATGTATTGTCCTGTTGATTTATTTATTTTTAAATAAAAATCATCGTCTTATTCAACGATGAAATTTCTATGGATTTTATCTTGTAAGATTTGATAATAGAATTCTAACTTATGAAAAAATTATATTGATTACTATTAATTGAATTAGTTCAATGTATGTAACATTATAACTATTTATTAGAGTTTTTAATTTAACGGTTACAGATTTTACTAGATTTTAATAATTTACAGTTTAGTTTACTCAAAAACAAACGATTTTTTTGACTACGACTTAATTATACTCATTCAAAATGTTTAAATACATTTTTAAAAAATGACTAAATACTACAAAAAATTATCACATGCCGATAATTAGACAATAAAACTAATTAGTACAAGGTGTCATATAGTATTATAATATTAAAGAAATTTGAAATAAATACAAAAAAAATTGCAAATGTAGAACTATACCTACGTGATATTATTTTAAATTTTTTTTTTTAAATTTTTTTTTATTTTTCAAATAGTTATGATAACTTTCCAAAACTATCTGAATTCTTATTCAAATATTGTTTTAGTAATGTAGTCAAATATGGGTTTTAAATATACGAATATTGAAAAGTAATATATTTATTTGTTACTTTTAAAATTTCAAGGTTCATGTTTATAATATTTGATCATAACAGTCTTGCACTACATTTGAAATTCACCGAGAAAAACAAAATAAACAATTACATAATATCCAATCTTAAAATACATTTATTAAAAAATAAAACATACATGTTGAAAATATTAAACGTTTTTCTTAAAATAAAGGACATGTCTTTTGGGTAATCTGCAGTTAATGATTTTTATATATATTTTTAATAGTTGCAATCGTTGGGCGACTTCAAAATTTTTAGATTTCTTTAACATTTTACCAGAAAAAGACCAAAGTATTGGGTCGATTATTTAGTACATATTTTTTGTGAATCCAATTATTTAAATAATAAAATATCTCTATAACATATAGTAATATGATATACTTAAATTAAACAATTCAAAAAAGCATATTTTCTTTATTGTATCCAAGGGAAATTTGACGCGGTCTACAATGACCAAGAGATTTCACCAGCAAATTATGAATATGAAAGTCATTCTTGTAGACGTTATTAAATCTAATAATGATATTCTGCAGATCTTTAATGTATAACTCAGAACGATGAAGAAATGGAACATTAGCCGCCAAATTGTCATTTATGTTTTTCATAGTATGTGTGTTAGTAGAGAAGGGGATAATAGGATCATTACCTTCCAATCTCATAGATATTGAAATTTCATTTAACTTTTTCATTCCTAATTTTAAAAAGTTTGTAAAGCTTGTTATTCTGTCCGGATTATTTGCAATTTCATTTATTTTTGAATAACTTTTGGAGACATCATTATATATCTTTGGGAATAATTTGATTTCCTCTAACAGTTGAATAAACAAAGGGTCTGTATTTAACTCAGTGTATTCTAGTAGTTTTTGTATACTCTGCGTTAATTTCAAACTAAATCCACATGATAAATTGTATGAGAACAAAAAGTGATTATTTTTTGAATCCGTTTTTTTAGCGATATAAAATTGGTTGATATTGTGACATTGCGACAATATTATTAAAATACCCCTTAACAAATTCAACTGCAATAGGTTTATTATGTAACTGTGGACAAGAATTGATTTATCGATAATTTTCTCAGGATCATATGGACGATTTTTAAAATTTTTTATACCTAAACTAATACTGTAAAGGAATTGCATCCTAAAAATATTCCAAATTTTATCATCAGCAGGATATTTTGAGTTGCTTAGTGATTCCTTTTCTACTGATTCCCAATAAAAAATATTCACTAGATTTTTGTTTAAATGCCTTTCTTTGAATAACCACTTTAATGGTGCGAACTTCTCATAATTTGTATATGATAAATGTTTCGAATTAAATTCAAGTAAATAAGCTACTTCAACTAAATTAGAATACAGAACATCAACATGTGGCATCATTATAAAGTCTTGTACCTCCAATAATTTATATTCACGTAGCAGGTTAATATATAATTTATCAGTTCTGTTATTGTTATCGAATTGCATTCCTTCTATATCAAAATACGGAGGTTTTAATTTCATTGGGTTGATTTTAGAATTAACTTCTTCTAACAATGATATTAAACTTTTAATATTATATATTGATAGATTAATTTTTTTATCAATAATATCTGTCTGTTTAATATCATGATTTTCCTCCATACAATATAAAACCAAATGCACCATCCATTCTGCAGGATAGTAATTGTTATTAGTAAATGTTGCAATCGTCATCAATGATATGTCATAATACAGTTGTATTAAGTATTGACTATAATCATAATTTCTTTTTTTACCGGGAGTTAGTTGAATATATTGTAGAAAAAGCAATGCTTGATTTAAATGAACTAATGCATAATGCAAATATAACATGTGAAGTTTATCCATAATAGAGTTCTTTGTATATTTAAGCCTAGATAGAAATGACCTGTCTAATTTTGTAGAATTGTTTACATTTGTTAATTGCTTGTTTAATTCGACCAATTTATCCATTCCTAGAGGATACCAAATGGTATTAAACACTACAGAATTGATCAAAGATTTAAATTTAAATATCTGTTTAGTTTCAGAATTTGTTTCTATTTCCTGCGACATTTTCATATCTATTTCATTTAAGTTCGATGGTTTAATAAACCTGGGCCGGTGAAAATCTCTATAATTTTTGAAAGGCAGGATTGATTTATTTTTATCAAGAATGTAATAAGAATCCAATATATTATTTTGTACATTTTCTGCGATTCCTTTTAACTGTGAATATAAATAAGTGCCACATATTCTAGAACTGTTTGAGTGTTTTCCGGGAATTTGCTGAGAGGAGAATTTGTAAGGAAAATATTTTTTTGTGATGCATTCGGGTATTTTGTATTTTTTTAAGAAATCATCTTCTGTCATTGTATTTAAACTGTAAATTTCTTTGATCAAATCTATTGTCAATATCTCTTCGTTTTCTGAATCGAAAGATAACATTATATTTATATTCCTTTTTTCTGTTGGCTTTAATTTAGGGACATTGCAATTGTAATTTGAATTAAACACTATTAAAGTGTTTAAGAGAACTGCCAAATCTTCATGCAAATTTTCCATCCAATCTTTTTGTAAAAATGGAATAATTTTAAACATCCATTCTGGTGGATCGTACCCAACGTCGGATATTGTTGTCAGCATTTTCAATGCAATATTTAAATATGATGAATTTATTGTGGAAACCGTGATAATAATTTCATCGATTAACAAATCATTATCTACAATTGTATAGAGTTCTTCCAAATGTCTTTGTGCGTAGTATGCATATGTGCACGTTAAGTTCCTCACCCTATCGTTCATCGTATTGGTAAGGTGTTCAATTTTTAGTGAATTGTTTTTTCTGGAGTCGATTGATGTATTATGTCTGATCAGGTTGTCACACGTATTCAGGGTATGCCAAGTAACCAATGGTTCAGTAAAACTTACCCAGCGATTGAGTGTTCTTAAACTGTTGTCTGTCGTAAGCTTAGCATAAATATTTAAGAAATATAATAAAAACACTATTATGTGAAATAAATGATTGCGAAAAAACATTTTTAATGAATTTAGAAAAATAATCGTTTTAATTTTAATTGACCGTATTCAATGTATTCCGTTAACGCACTAATTTAATATAATATATACTAAATATACTGAATAAGCAATTTAAGATTTGTAGTTTTATATAAGCTTTGCAGTGTAAACATGTTTTGAAGTATCTTTTTATAAATTAATATACAAGGTGGCTAACAAAAAAGAACAATACTATATTCATACTATAATACAATTATAAACTTTATATTTTATATTTACTAGAGGATCATTTTTTTTGGATTCTGTCATAGTTTATGTATTTTAATAAATGACATGTTTTAATAACAGTCTTTACTGGCACAAAATACGGTGACGATTTTCATTAGAATGACAATATCTCGAAAAGTTTATATATAATAAATATTTCAATTATTAAGCCCCTTCAATCTTTGTTTTTTAAATGGTCACAAAAATATAAAGTGTTAGTTGAGTTAAATAAAAGCATATTTTTTTTCTTTATTTTGTAGTTTATACTTCTATCAATCTATTTGTCCTCCACAGGAAATTCTTAGGTTATTATTATAAAATCAATTAAAATTTATGTTTATAACAAAGATAACATTTATTTTTCGACTATCTCTGAGATAATTAATGAATCTAATTCATCACCCTGTATTTTTGATATATTAAAAATACCGTCTGCCCATAATGTAGGTTAGAATTACGCTAATAAATGTATCATGTATATTTTTATATTTATGTATGTGTTTATGAAATATTAATGTTGTCGAATCATAACTATTTGAATTATTTATAGTACAAATACAAAAAAAAAGCAAAAACATGTCTTTCTAATGCGCTGACTAGGTAAAAGGTTCTATTAGAAACCACTCCTAAATCTTGATAGAAAAGTTTTTAAGATACACTGAAAAAATGTCTATCATAGTAATACATTCAGTTCATTCCTCGTTTTATTGGTAAAATTACAATGCATAATAAATAAATATATAAACTACCACCGACTAATGGTTTACTTGAAATATCTATTTTCCCATCTATATACCAATCTGGTGAAAGTAATTCAATATATAATAAAATAGTAAAGTCATGATGTAATAAAAAAATTATTAAAATGGGTAATATTCGTAAATAAATATATAAATATAAAATACATACATAAAAATAAAATAAATAAATGATTTAATATACTATTTATGTTTGCTGGAACAAAATGAATGGTAGTGTTGGTCAGTGAATTGGGTATTTTGCATTTTTCCTACAGGGTGGATACTTTCGTTGTAAGAACCCAGGATGTGTATTATGTATGTGTACATACAAGACATAACTTACCTTTAATGAAACCATTTTTTTTTTCAAATTTTAGTAATTACATTATAAGATAACATATGAACTTTTTACCACTATGACTGCGCTTTTTACACAATTATCAGAGTTATAGAATCACACGGGGATTTATTTCATATTTTTATTTATTCAAAATTACCATTTCGTATATAATAATTAACCTTTATATTATACAAATTTTTTTTTGATGATACATATATGCATATATATATATATTTGTAAAAAGCCATAGATGTAGATCACCAGATTAACCCCTGCGTGTCAAAAATACGTCATTAGTGTAGGATTTTTACATAATTATTTCTTAGAAAATCATACAATGTTATCGTTGTTTGTTCACTAGACAATACATATGGGTGGAAAAGTAAGGCGATGTAAGTTTTAGATATTCGTCATAGACTAATAAATTATATCAGCTCAAAATGTAGGTTATAATAAAAAATATATCGCTTATATTTCTAGTTTTATTCGTGTGTGTATGAAATTATAAATTTGTCAAATTTTAAATATTTGTACAGTATTTTTTTATTATGGTCATGATTAAACATGTAGCCTTATCATAATTATTTCTACGATTTTGATTGTTTATTATTTTACTGAACAATGATTAATAAATCAGTATTATACCTATCTGATTTAATATATTATTAATTAGAATATTTATTATATTTAGGTTCATTATTTTAAATTTGTACGGCTTACTTTTTCCTCCGTAAATATTGCTTCAATAGAAATACGTCAAGAGATATTTTCTGTTGAATTTTTAATCTAGTTGGTGAATAAGAAAGGCGCTTTGTGATTTTATTTTTTTTATAATTGAACAAAGCTAATAATTAGTTACAAACTTTAACATTTTGTGAATTTTTTATATAATGGTAATTTGGTAGGTACTATGTAGATAAATTGTTAGATTTTACAGGAATTCGTGATTATTTAGTAGGTTCATTATAAGTCGTACTTAATAGAATTCATTATTTATTTACTATTATCATGTATTATCATAAATCCTTATCATCATAATTTACATTTACGAAAAACCGGAAAAAAACGACAACTGACAAGTTTACGATATTAATATTTTATATTTTAAAATATTTACGTTTCCGTTTTCTAACAGAAAAACAACGAGCAAGAGATCTATTGTTTTGTTAATTAAAATAGTTGTGTTTGACTATCGAATTAACTCGGATTACTACTTCAGTAAAAATAAAAAAAATAAAACCAATAAAAATAAAAATGAATAGATTATAATAATCGTTCACGTGAATATTAATCGAAAATTACAAAAACAAAGTAGAAATAACAAATGTACCTAAGTTCTGTTCAGTGTAAAATACCAAAATATTTAGTCTATGTTTTTATGTTCGTAATCATGTTCTGATTTAAATTTTAATAAAAATGACGTAATTTACTTGCATTTATTGGAAAGTTTCACATAGCCTAATTCCATGAAAGCACAACCTATTTTGTTATGGCTGAGTAAATAATTAATCTTGTCCAACATCAATAAATTGGTGTGGTAATTCATACTCTCATATTTCTCTCCATAAGGAACTCGTAATTCAGTTTCATATTTGAAACCAAAAGTTTGTATAAGTTTACCGGGTTTGCCCAATTGTGGCCCTAATTTATATAGTCTTTTTTTATCCCAAACATATATAAATACACTGATTGCGTCTAACGACACATTCGTTTACGAAACAGCGTATAACCGTACAAATAAATAAAAACAATTTCATATAAAATATACTGATACGTTGTTATATAATTTATATTATAATTGCTATTTGAGGATAATATCATAAAAATCGAATTGTTACTACTTACAGTAAACGTTAAATAACATAAATGTATAAATATTGTTAAATGAAAATTGTATAAAATATTTAAAACGAATTAATTTATAAAGTTAATAAGTTGATTTAATTGTTGGTTGGCCATTCTTGTTTTCTTATTTTTAATATAATATCTACTGGAAAACATTATTTGCGACCAATATTATAGATAGCTCCTGTAAATGCACTATATAATATATGAAAATACGTTGAACGCAATCCGGATAGTTTCATTTAGATTTAATAACCACTGAAAACGGTATTTCCTACCAACTTTGCACGGGCCGTAATCGGGATATGAAAAAGAAAAAAATAGATCACTTTGGAAGGCAATCTGGCGACGCCCAATTTGACAGCCAAATATGAAAAGAGTTGAAAAATTAGATAAGTGCATAATGTTAAAATAAGAGAGTTGCGTTTATTATTAATTATTTAAATTCGAAAAGTTCAATTTTCTAAAATAATGCCTAATGAGTGGATTTTGAATACATTTTTACCCAGCATAAATTCTAAATTATACTCAGACTAATAAATTAGGTCAACTTAAATATAGGTTAGAATAACAAAAATTAATGCATCATCTATATTTTTATCTTTGTATATGTTTTTAAAAAAAATGATAAACTATTTGACTAACCGTAAATATTTGTATAACTAATATCAATACGTGAACCATAAAGATGTAGGTCATTATATTATCATGTATAACAACTCCCGTTTGGTTTTTATTAAAATATTTTTTTTAAAAAGAACACATTTTACAAGTAAATTGAATATAATATATTTAATATAATATAATATTATGATTTTGATTTACAACTGGGTCAAATCGTCAAATAATTTTCTCACGAGAGGATTAATTTATTAACAATTTATATTGTTCACATTATTTTGTTTAGAATGATAAAGGTTATTATATCTTAATGTGCCTTATTATAAATATTGAATGGAGAAATGTTATTTAGGAGGTATACCATCTTAATAAAGCACGATTCTTTACGTTTTACTCTTTTGGGAACACGATTTCGTACGATTTTTTCGGCAATGTTGCCGTTTATTATTTATTATTAAAAAAGTTAAAAATTTTTCAAATAAACAGTATAAATTGTACACACATTTTTAATAAAAACTATTATAAAATAAAAAAATTATAATTTGATAGCTTGGTACGTGTTACAAATACTTGATAAATATTTTATTATATTTTGATGAATCAAATATTCCTTGATTGTGTAATCTAAACATGTTTAGTAATACCTTATTGTTCACCAGACTTACTATTTACTGCAAATAATTTTTATTATTTGATTTTATGCTATTTAATATTATTAATATAACAATATACTTAAAAGAAATCAATCACGTGAAAATTGACTATCAAGTATACATTTTCAAATGTAACTAATAATTATTACCCAAATACGCAAAATAGGCCCAAATGCGCTTTAGAATAAGCCCTGTTATGAAAATCTGGCAATATTGTACTAAAATCGTAGTTCCAGAACGTACGGAATCCTGTTCTACCCTACCATCTGATCCTGAACTCCTGCCACGATTAAAAATTAAATGTTTTCCCTTTATGATGTACGAAAAGTGTTGGAATAAAATTCTATATTGATGCAACCGAACATGTTTGGTTTTTTTCGGGTTCTTGTCATTAGGAAAACTATGTCTAAGTCTACAACTATCCAAGGCCCCCTAGGTTAAAATGCATCTTATTGAGTCAGTTAATCTATGTAAGGGACAAATAGTTATTATTATGTACTCGATTGTCGTGACTCGTTTTTCTAATTACCGTCTTATCTTGATTGGTACCAACTTGTCGCTTACGTTTATTGATTTTGGATATGGACGCACGCATGAGTGTACAAGAGTTGTTTTTGCTTTCCTTAGTGCCACTGGACACGCAAATACGTGTCCGTTTTTCATATAATACTAATTAATAATGCTATTGAAGATAATGGCCAGTTAATATGTATAGTATACTTATACGTAGCGTGTACGAGTATAGCGAGCGTGAAAAACTCACGGCCGTCGTCCAGAATTTGGCATTATCATAATATTTAAAATAAACACACATATTCATATAATATAATATTAGTATACGTACACAATTGTGGCCGATACGTATAAAATTAATTTACGCTCGTTTCATAAATTTGTGCCTTATGCCAAAAACCCGAACGATAAAAATTCGTACGTGCAAGTTGGTCACACTAAACAATTTCCAATGCACAGTTTTTTAAATAAACAAACGAAATCGATATGCTAAATAGTGTCTCCTACGTGTTTTTTTTTTTTTTTAATTGGTGTAGCCGTCAATATAATATGGAAACAAACGAACGATCGTACGAATAAAAACCATTACACATGAAAGCGTACATTTGGTCTCGTATACCACTTAGTTAACGGTCACCGTTGGTTGGTGGCTTTTAACGTATGCTAATCGGCACCATAGTGCTAAACTTAAACATGGAACGGAATTGTATTATTATTTTACGATTTTTTTTTATTTTTTTGAATTATGATTTGTATGCTCACCCAATAAATACAAACTATATAACTTCATAATTATACAATGCAATTATAAAACGTTTAATAGGTAATCGTTGTATTATAATATTTTTCTACTAAAAGTAGATTATTTATTTTACTATTGAATTAATATGTGTATTATATATTCAAATATTTTAGATTCGGAGCGTAGCGAGGGATTTATTTGTTTTACAACGACCTTATTATTGTTATTTTTTTATCATTGAGCAATTTTTTTTTAACAGAAATGTTCCTCCGATGTGTCAGATCTATCTAATATAGCACCATTTCTATAAGGAAATTTTATCTTATTGGTACTTGAAGGTGGTCATTTTTTGGTTTTTAAGCGGTTCTCATAAAATAGGAATAACCGGCAAAAAAAAAAACATAGATAAACCGGGAAAATATACGAAATTTTAACAGAAAACGTATACAAGCCTTTTGTAAACACGGTAAAATTAAAAAAAAAATCTTTTATGTCATTTTTTTTAGCTGTTTATAGACATTTTAATTTTGTGAGTTTTTACGTTATTTTTATTCGATAGGTACTCTGTGGATAAAACTGTTAGACTAAACAGAAATGCATAAATATTTAACAAGAAGTTCATTTTAAATCATAATTTGTGGTAAAAAAGAATTTTCAATATCAAATTTTTACAAAAATCTTAAATATTATGTCCTTTTAAAACATGTATAATCGGACCTTGCTCCGAATCGACCTCCGAATGCTCTACTCTTTATTCTACCTTTGCAACTTTTCACCTACAACAATGACCTACCCGACGCACGATGTATGTCCATCTTTTTTTTTTTAAATTTTAATACAAAATTTACCTGTTCTGTATGCTAATTTACGTACATTTTACCGGTGAGTAATTCTAAATCTGTCTAGGCACGGTTTATCGTAAACCAGACGGTGCGCAGGTACACCGACGACGGGAGACACGGGGAACAACAAACACCGAAATGTACAAATATAATACTGCGATTATAGTATTAAAACTCGTGTGAACGATAGTACGGCATAACTATTCGTATAAACGTTGTGAATTTCACAGCGGGAAGTGTCGCGTATTATCTCCGGAATTACCATCCGTGTAACCTACGTATGCTGTATAATGTTTGAAATAATATTATAATAAATGGATGGCCGAACTTATAAGTCAAAATGAACGAATCTATAGACAATAATAATTGTATTCATAACTAATCCGATTGTGCAGGTAGGCATATTTTAATGATGCAAAAGTTGCACTGTTATGGCTGGTATAGGTACCTATATGAATTAATTTATAACAGCTATTAGTATGGTGGCTAATTAAAAGTTGTTTAAACAAATTTAATATTATATTGAAAAGTTATATTTTTTGATTAAACATATTCTAAGGTAGAGATTTTAGTAATTTATATTATAACACTTACACAAAAAATTACAAGAATTATTGGTAATTCAAGATGCGGTATCTACTGAATTTATGTTTGAAATAGTATTAAAATCAAAATTCGCATTTTTTTTTTTGATACACGAAGAACAATTTAGTGAATTTTTACTAACCGAATAAGTGTTTTCCGAAAAAAAAAAAAAAAAAGGATCTAATGGTGAGCTATTGAGAAATAAAAAAAAACCGTTTCGAGTAAAATACAACCGGGCAGAAATTGTGTATAATATTATTATATTTATTTTTTATTCATTTATATAAACGCCCAGTAGGCGTAGTAGTATCCATACATACATACATACATACATACATACATAAATACATACATACATATATACATACATACATACATACATATATACAAGGTGAGTGTTATTTTAGTATACATCCTAATAGAGAAAAGTAACAATAGGACCAATTAAATAAAGCAAGTAAGACAAAATTTAGTACTATAGACTAATAAACTATAACTATTGAACAAAGAACTATATAATACAACTATTTTTTATCTCCATGAGAATATTAAAAAAAAAAAAAAAATCAAAATTAGTAAGTTTATTACCTAGAGTTAACATTCGATTTATTTGTGTGAATAGACAACAATTATGTTTGCTAGAAGAGATACATAGAATGAAGTCATGGATTTTATGATGCTATTTATATGTTAATTAAATTTAAAATTCTAATGAATGCGATTCGAATGAGAGAATAGAAATACTATCAGACATAGATGAACCATTTGTATTAGATCAGTGATTTTTAAGGTGGGCGGTATCGCCTCCAAGGGGCTATTTCGGTTCCTCGAGGGAGTGGTAGGTTTTAAGAGGGCAGACGGTGAGCTTTTAAATGCGGAATGATGGAAAATAAAATAGCATCAGCGTCCAGCGGCACGTGAAATTAGAGCAGTTTTGTATAGGGCCGTATTTAGGGTTGTGATTTATGATTGGCCAAGATTCCTACGGTAAAAAAATAAAAAAAATCATCGGCAAAAGATTCCTTTAATATATTATATAAAAAAAAAAAATAAAGCAAAAGCAAAAAACCAATAAGGCAATAATAAGTCTATAGTTTTGCGTGAGTGGACGTTAGTTATCAGTTATCTTATCGATGAAAGGGAGCTGTCGTGAAAAAGGTTTAGAATCACTGTAATAGATTATTAAATTTTAATACGTTCCGATAACTATTGAATACTAACGAACAAGATTGAGAAATTGCATTATCTTCAAGAAGGTTTCTTCGCAATATGAAAAAGTCTTTGTATAACCACATTGTGTAACCACTAAGTGTACGATAATATTACATAATTCGAAAACGTATGTATATAAGAATACTTATTATAACTAAAGAATCTCAAATATTATTAATTTTATTGATATTTTTTTATTTTAAAGTTAGTTTTGAGCATTTTTAAATTATAGTATATGACAAAATTATAACTCATATTAAAATGAAAATATCAATAAAATTTAATGAGATTCCCTGGAGAAATATTCTTATTTTTTACGTTTTACATTTTTATGAAATATCTCTTTTAGTCACATTATTTTATATTATCTGTACTGACTGTACTAAAGTAAGTATATCAGAGTTTTATGAAGTAGAGCGTTAGTATTTTAAAAAGCAACTCATGCCATATTTTAATTTTTTTGTATTGACGAAATGGGCGTACATCCAGTTAAGTTGGATATACATGACACGGCATTTTTAATTACAAAAAAAAAAAAGACAAAAACTTTAAAAGGTAAAAGCGAATAACAACATAAACACGGGTCAAAAATTAAAGAGTAAACACGAGTCTTGAGGTGAAAGATAACATAAGAGATAACAAATGTATCCAAGATAACGGATCCAATTCAGTACTGCAGGATTACCAGGGTGATTTTATTAATTATACGTATTTTGTGTTATAAATATCCAGGTTAGGTTCTAAATCACATTTTACGAAAATTTTGTCGGGCAAATAATGAAATAGTTAAGTAATTTACTAATATAATTTAATTAAATATATATTCGTGGTATAGAGTAATGTTTTTCGACCATCAAAGTTAAAGTTATAAACCGAATAACTGAAAATACGATTTTATCCCGAAATCATGTCGGATATTGTTCCTAGAACATGGCTTAATAATCGCTCGTGGATGAAATTTCAGAGGGAGGTGGATTTTCAAAATTTATGCTAAATAGAGATTTTAATCATTATATGTTAACAATTAGTTTTTTAAGCCAGCGAGTTTTCCGTCTTGCCCTCCCCCCGAATGGGTGCCCATTCTTGGCATAATTGTTTAATAATTATTTTTTGCATATTTTCTTGAGCTTTTATTTCTCAATGATTAAACATATAGATTTAAATTTCGAAAAATTATGTATTATATGTACGAATATGATGTTATATTTACCGTACATTAAAAAATTTAATTCTATATTATGTTTTACAGTTAGTATTAGATTTAAATGAGTCGAGAAGGAGCCTCGTGATCATTCAGACGCCTTGGATTTTTTGTTCTCATAAGTTTGCTTCTCGGCCATTGAGTACCTATTTTATAATACCATTAATGTAATTGTATTAAAAAGAAAAAAAAAAGTTTTTGTAAAATAATGTGGTGTTTCAGTTAGTTTTATAAAAATATTTATAAAAAAAACTCTACTTATAATGGTATAATAATTTTGAAAATTTCAAAAAACCCGCAGTGTTTAATAATTAAAAACCTAATAAGTATTTTAATTTTTATAATTATTTAAACAAAGGAGGAATAACTATACTATACGTGGAAGTACAATTTATTGTTTAAAATATTAAAGATATGTCCCTTAAGAAATATATATACATATATATTAAAAATAAATCCATAATTTATAATAACATTCAACAAAGTCGATGTGAAAATATATAATAATAATTCAATAGTGAATGAATATGTGTTCGACTGGAAAATAAGAAAATCTCTATGATTTCCCGTTTAATTAACACATTTAAACGAAAACCGATTTATAAATTAACACTAAATTAGTACTTATCAATTGTATAACCCTCATTTCATTATGCCCAGATTAGGTACAGTTAAAATTATAATGTTTTATCGACGATTCGTAAATTTGTCCGGTTATTTTTTACGTGTTTTTCGGATTTTTCTAAATTTTAATAAAAAGATAACCACTTGGAAGATTAAAAAATTGCCTCCTCTATGCACTAACTACATCAAAAATACACCAAAAATTATTTTTATCCTTTTTAATATGAGCAAAATTTCTGGTAGAAAAAATGCTCATAGATACAAAAAATGATCCGATCTGGTCCGTTTCACACTGATCCACTCTATGTCGCGTGCTGAATGTTAATCGATGCAATTTTCTTTTGTCGTCACCAAGAGCTAGTTACCAACTGTTTATTGCCGTTTCAAAACAATTGAAATCCGTCAAACACAATTTCTACAATCTGACTTTGAGGTCTTAATCAATTTACATAATCATCTTGAACTCAGAACTTCACACACATTGTTGAGTAAAACAAAAGAAAAAAAAACGTCCTAGGTAATGGAGACGGGTGCAGACACTGTTATAGGTAATTTAATGTATATTTTTAACCTACGTTTAAAAATAAATTCGTAATTGACACACATATCACCATATCCAACACAATATATTATTTAAGAGCTTATGTCTTAAAGCCATTTTAATAACATTTCCGCAAATACTAAATACATTCAAATTAACTTTCAAATAGCTAACATATAATAATCACATGTAGTTACTTTTGTGTAATAACAATTTTTTCAAACACGTGTTCACTTAAATATACGGTGCGTAAAAGAATTCGTTTTTGTCTATCGCGTTTCACGGCAGTCTTTGCCCTCGTTTCTGTACTTGTCTCACCCGTCATTTTCTTGTCACCTTCCGCAAGCATTTTTTTTTTTTTTTGTTTTATAAATTTTATATTCCTACACTATTCACTAACAAAGTTGATCATCAATGTGGAAAACATGAAATAACTTTTAAAAACTTCCGTTCCAATCGGATTACGTAGGTATGTGTGCATGACGCACGTATAAGAACAGCGTACGTGTGTATACCTTTTCATCAGCAGATGTTCATTATTCGTGCCACCTTCATAAAGAATTCGAATAAACTGCAGTCTCAGATAATAATACATTACGTTAATATATGTATATAATAATATACGATTTTAAACATTATATATATACCTTTTTCTTTTAACTTTTCCTGTTTTCTAGTATAACTGAGTATATCCTACAAAATTAACTTTTATATCATTTTAAAATTGTCAACTAGCTTTTGTAGCTCTTGTATGGTTTTTATATTAATTATCAAATTTTTAATATTTTGAATACCTTTAATACAAAACCTTTTTTTTTTCTTTTTTAATGAATAAAGAGAAATATATGTATTATTATTTTGTTTCTACATTTTAAAAATATTTTTAATATAAATTAAGAATAGGTTTTTGAATACTGAGGTTAATTTGGTTTCGAAATACATATTTGAATACATTATTTTAAACGTATTTAAATATAAATATAAAAACTATATTCGATATACTTTCTTTTTTTTCAATAAATTTGATATGCCTTGAAAGATTTCTGCATTCAACAAATGACAAATTTAGAAATTGTAATTTGTGTATAATTTAAATTATCACATGAATGATAATAATGAATACACGTACTTGAGTATTATATTATCAACTTATAGTTATTTTATGATGTCGATTTGTGTCTGAAATATTTCATTTCGCGGGCTGGTATATTATCTTGTCGTCTGAATGTAAATCATAAAATATAACTTACTAACTCACAACCGAATCGATTTCCCGTTATTTCAAAGAGATTTTTTTTTTTTTTTTAATTTGGTCATTTATAATACATACATATAAATGTATAAATAATAATAATAATAATAATATATTATTTATTTCTTTTGTTTATTTTTATGCTTTTGACATCTCGTATCTTCAAGTGCACAATTTGAATTTGATTAGGAGTACACTGGCCCTTTTATGTCTCTCTGTATTTGTATATAACTATAAATATTATAATCTTTTGTTGTTAGCTATCGATAGCAGTTCCATATTATTTACTGGATGTAGTTATGGTCTGAAATCATATTTAAGTATTTCTATTGAAAGTTTTGCGGAAATTATTATTTCCAAAACCTTTTTATGTTTTTCCAAAGATAACTAAATGTGATGTCGATTTATGAAAGAAAAAAAACCCATTCAATTGATAATTCAGATAAATTCCGAAACCGAAGTGATTTACACCGATATTATTTTCGAAGCGGGTAAAATGTTTTGATCTTGAATTTGTATTTTCGAAATAGGACTCATGGTACTTATTATCTAATACTAGATTATTTTTATCTAAGAATACTTTATACCTACACATTTTATTAAAATAACAATATATAGATACGTAGATCAGCTTTTATAGGTTAATGAGTCGTGCAAGGATAATTTAAAAATTAGCTAGATTAGATTAGATAATGTATTGATAAATAATGTATCTAGATAAAATAATACATTTCATCGATTTTTTACCTAGATATAAATCATATAGTTTTTTTTTTTATTTTTGGAGGTTTTTAGGCTTTCAAATGATTAAACATTTTAGAAATACAAACAAAAAATGTTTATTAGTTTTTTTTTTTTTTATCATAATTTCAATTTATAAATAACAAAATAACAATTCATAAACATCAGTTTTTTATATTCAACACTGACGAATTAATATATTATAAATTAAAGTTTCTAATTAATATATCACAACGCTTAATTAAAATGTTCAAATATGAACTAGTTTATTAGTATTTAATAAAGTAATAATCAATTACTTCAAAAATTATTACGATATATAAATTGTATAGAATATTTATTATAATTTTGACGAAAAATCGCATTTAAATTTGAAACGGCAACTTGTACAAATAATAGAGTAGCTCATGTGAGAATAAAATAGTTGTAGAAAATAGTTATTACTTAATTCTAGCGTTTTTAATTTGTCTACCGCTAGTCTTTTTGGCCCAAAATTATAGATAACAAAATTAGTAACAACAAATATGTTACAAAAAGGTATCTTGTCTTTTTTTGATTTAAGTAAAATTTCTGGTACACAATTTCAGTTTTTTCACAGACAAAAAAAAAAAAAGCAACACTTAGAATCGAATATACGTTACACGTTATAATAGAATAACAACATAAAAACCCTTCACACGTAGGGTTAGCCACTATTGTGGGTGAGAAGTTCGGAAAGTAGTACAGGGGAAATTTAATGTATATCTCTAAGCAATGAAAACCATTTTTAACAAAAAAACAATTCTGAGTGGAGTTCAGTTGATAGTGTAGTTGCTTTGTTAACAATAAAATATATATCATATTATGATAAAATAATTGCATAGGCATTATATATGTTTTTTTTTCCGGTGTTTTCTGTTTATTTGAAAAACTAGTGAGGAAATCAACAAAGGACCTCATTAAAGCCCTTCTCTAGTTAGATTTCCCTTTAGAAAAATACTATCATTGTAAATCTGAGCAAAATTGCTGGTAGAAAAAGTTTTCAGAAGACAAAAAAAGGCTATAATATTTGTATCAACTAATACCTACATTTCGTACAATTTCCCGTTTTTCCTACGTTTTTTTCAGGTCTTCTAATTTGTTGGAAAAACGTCTGAGAAAATCAAAAAATAGCATGTTCAAAGTATCTCTACACTCAGATATTATTTTAGAAAAAGTACTATAATTGTAAATTGGAGCAAGATTCCAGGTTGAAAAGTTGTCCACAGATAAAAAAAAAATATCTTTGCAAAACCATAAGCTACTTTGCTCCACTCAGAATTTAAAATACTAATAACACCAAAATATAAAACTATTATTTCGGATTATTGTTAACTATTGGTTGTTTACGTTTTTTTTTAATTATTTGTTTCTTCGAAAAAACCGAACTTTCTAAATCAGCAACTATTCTGTTCTTTAATATTTACTTTCAAAACATTTGAGCATGAAACTTTTGATACATATTTCTCTCGACACAAACAGTTTCAAGAAACAAATATAAATTTAAAAGCGATTTACTTGTCTGATAGCACAGCAATGTTATTAATCTGTTTAAACAAAATGTCATCATATAATCCCAAACATTAAGTATAGTTGAACGTATTATAATACATAATAACATATATTTATTATTTATTTATTTATGTTTGTATGATTTAATGGTTCTCGAAATAATTTCACTGCATCGTAATTCAACTTCTAATTTTTTTTCTATATTAAATTAATTGTTTGAACAATATTTAACTGAGTCATCAAATCTCTGTCTAAAAACACTCTTAGATCTCAATTAACTTCCTTGTACCTACAGAGATTTTCTTTAAATTATTGTTTGAACTCCAAAAAATGCCTCCCTAATTTAGTTATATTCTCATAAGGTAATACCAGATTGTGATAATATATAAAATCGAATTACAGCATTAAAATAATAAAATTTACAACGAATTTGCAAATTAATTTAAATGTAATGTTTTCATATAAAAAAAAAAAAAAAAAATCAAATGTAGGTATAAAACATATTTTTTATTTAATAAAGTTTAGTATCATTGTATAATATTATCATTATATTATGTGACTTTCATAAATTCAGAATAACGATATTTTTTTGCAGTGTTCTGGAAATGATAAACAAAGTTTACAATTAGAACAATTATGTACCGTTCATGATAATCAATTCATATTTGTCATAACGACAATAATTTGTTGATACTATTAAAAAATATTTCGGTTGAATAAAATAATTTAACATAAACGGTTACTTAACGAACATAATTTTAAAATAATTGATTATTTAACAACGGTTAATATTTTCAGATCAAAAAATAAGTAATTATGCAGATTTTAATCATACGAGAATTATACAAATGCATTTGAGTGGAATTAATAAAATTTTAAATGAAAAAACTACAGTGCTGCGCAAATTAAACTTTATATTTTACAATATCCTAAATGTGTAGGGGAAATGATATTTCGTTCTGTATATAGTATTTTCTAGAAAAAGATTTTTGTTTCTATGTAGGTAGTTTAAAAACGTATTTAAAATAAAATATGATGAAAAATAGTCAGAGAGTGACAAGATGGATTTAGATCTGGGATATCAACAGTGGAACAGAGCCACGTTATTAAATAATGAATGCAAAAGAGTTGTGCGTACAGTTAAAATATTTGTAAACCGCGATCAAATTAAGACGATGACCGGTCAGATCCTTGTCCCGCAATGCCTATTCAGTAATGCTACGCATCTTATTGACTGTCCAGTTTTTATCGGTTACAAAAACACCTGAATCAACAGCTACATACCAAATAACTACATTAAACTCTGTGTTGTAATCATTGGCGAATAATATTTATTTAACTATGACGTGTAGAAGGTCACGGTAATTAAATAGGCTCCTTCTACGTGTGTAACTGGTCATAGTCTTAACGTGGTTGCAGTATAATATGTTATTCATTGACTAATCACGCACACGTGTACCAGTGTATCACTCGATAGTAAAAAATAGAGATATGATTAACAGTAAATGACCTAAGAGTCCTTTACAAATTAATTAGATAAATAAGATCGTTTACACAGAACTGAAAAGTAAAGTTCAATGGCCATATGCAGGGTGTCCTATGAAGATTCGGCAAATGCAAACATTTTTGTTTTTTTCAATAACTTTGATGTACATTTTTTAAAAATAATTAGTATTTCTCAGCGCTACAGATAATATATGAACTTTTTTTTTTAGGGGGAAGGGGATTTTAAATAAAAAAGACATCCTAGGATAATGCTGTAGGTTGCAGCTATTGTTATAGGTAATCTTATGTATATCTGTAAACAACGGTAAACAATTAAAAATGAAAAAACGATTCTGAGCGCAGTTCAGTTGATTATTCAGTTGCTTTGTCAACAATATATATGTCATACTATGGCAAAATAATTAAATAGGCATAATATATTATTTTTAATAATATTTGTTTTACATTGTATCAGTTTCTTCATTTTTCCTGCGTTTTTTCCCATTTTTCCATGTTTTTCCCTGTTTTTCATATTTGCTGGGAAAATCTCGGGAAAACAAAAAATGAAATTAAAATAAATAAATATAATTAAAATAAAAATGTTTAAAGTACTTCCGCAGTTAAATATTTGTTTAGAAAAAGTGCTGCCATTGTAAATCGAAGCAAAATTGGTGGTAGATAAATTGTCTGAAGAAAAAAAAAATCGTAATATTTTAATATGTATTTTTCCCGTTTTCTCCATTTTTTACACTTTTTCCCATTTATTGGGAAAATAAAAAAAAGTAACTCTTCCAGTTATCACGGAGATAAAATTTCCTTTCAGAAAAAAAGCTACACTTGATACATCGGAGCAAGATTTTTGATAGAAAAATGTGCTCAACAAATCGAGAAATATATCGCAATAAAATAGTCTGAGAGAGCGATGGCTTGGGTCTCTAGGTACACCCAAAATGCATTTGGTTTTTCCTTGTTTAGGCAAGAGGGAATAAAATGCAAAATATTTTTTTTCGAAACATAAGTTTGAACCTACGATCCCTAGGGTGAAAATACCTTTAGGTATGTATAACCATTCAAATATGACAAACATTCTTAAGAGAACACAATATATTTACTTATTTAACATAACATATAAAATCTGTATAATATCAAAACTTCAAAAAGCTAAAATTTCGAAACTTAGTCAGTCCGCTCAATTCTGATTTTACCATTGTTGTAAGCAATGGGAAATGGGTAGGTATAACTATCTACTTTTAGATTTCCAACGTATTTATTCATTTTACGGCCGAGTGCATTTTTGTTTTGTATTCTTATCGAAAAACGGAAATAGTGTTTCAATCGGTTTTCACGTTGATCTATTTTCCCCACGGACAAGTCTAACTGCAGATTTGTAGTCAAAAGTATTTTATAAAAAAAAAATATGGTCATTCATTGAGTTTTCTTAATGGTAATCGACAAAACAGACCGGCAACGTTTTGAAATAAAAAAAAAACAAGCAAGTAATAGGTACATTCGAAGATTTCTAACAATTTATTATAGAGGTCATTATTTTGCTCGTTTTGTTTTCTGCCAGAAAATGAAACTTTTTTTATGAAATTTTGGTCCGCAGAATCGACTTTCGGAATAAAAGTCGTATGACTACAGCGAACTTGCTCTATTAGAGCTATAATATGTGATATGAAACAGGTATTTTAGTAAAAAAATGTTACCATAAAATTTTGCAGTTGTTCATTATAGTCAAATATATATTATTGCGTCTTCTTGGTTTTAAATTAAAATCATTTCCAACTACCTTATTTAACCATATATTTTCATTTTTTATCCATCAAATAACAAATCATGTGTAAATATTAGGTTTAAAATTAGGTATATTGATGTGCAGCCTACCGAACTACCGAATTATTTTTCAATATTTTGAAGTTTTGACATACAATCAACCAATGTTAATTATATATATATATATACGCACTTCACCCAAATGTCTTTGGTATCATTATTTATAATAATTATAATACAGATGTTTAAACGCGAGCGAAAATTGTATTCCACGTCAATTTAAATTACGGTGTTAACAAAGGACTTTCCCTTTGTCCTTTATCCGCATCTTGCCACGTAAATCGTGACGATCGCAGTAAAATAATTTGTTTAATATTGAATTTAAGCAGTGAATTGAAATTTGTTAACGAAGAAACTTAAACCTGAAAATAAAGCCAGTTTGTCAATCGTTGCAGTCTATTGTACATCTCGGCACCACTATGTTATAGATGTTTCACTGCTATAATATTGCAGTACTTGAATTTTAAATACTTTAAGCTTCCGTCGTTTTGCTCGAATTAATAACATACAATTTTCATTGAAAGTTACAGATCTATGTTAAAATAGACGTTGACATTTACAGGCTTTCTCACGAAGATAATATACGCGTAAAGCGGTTAGGTTATTCTCTAAATAACATCGGTTTTCACATGGATTAGTAGAATTTGAAACGGTCGTTACTTAGAAACTATTTATCGGATATAAATGTGTGATATCAACATTTTCAGAAAAATAAACTCTACAGAATAACCATCTTAATTTTTTTCAAAAATAATAGAATAAAGTTTTTTTTGAATAAAAAAAAAAAAATTAGTTCAAATATAAATATTTGTAGTCCTCATTCGTTTGAGTGATGTAAGAAAAAAAAAAAACAACCAAAATTTGATTATTTTTGTCTCCGGAGATATTTAAGAGGTTTATTTTTGTGGGACAGCCGGTATTTTTTAAATATTATAAAATTGCAAAGTACCAAGGTAAATAATTGTTTAATGTTGTATTATTATTATTGAATTTTGAATATTTAAATTCACAACTAAACTTAATATTTATACAAACGCGAATCGATTTGATTTAAAAATGTTATGCGAAAAATTTATTAGAAAAATCCTATAATATTGTCGATTAGAAAATATTTTCGTAATTAGTTTAACACTGTAAATTATTCATAAGAATAAAAAGCCCAAGTTATAATTTTAAAATTATACCAGAGCACCGTTGTATTGCCAATTTAACTTTTATACTTATTCAATGTCTTGTTATAAATGTATAAAACAAAAACAGCCATTGAATTGTAACAAGTATAATAACCTAATAGTTCCTGAAAAGTAAGGTTTCAGTGTTTTATTTTCCTAAGTAATATTTTCCATAATCATACTAATTTGATCTTTCCCAGAAATATTTTTCAAAGAAGCATTATTCTTTAACGATATTATCAAATGGTCTTTGAAAATACTGTTTCTTATCAAATTTTAATTCAGAAAAAAACCTTTTCCCGAATAAAACAGTTCCATTCAATTATTTCCCGATTCATTCCTACGCGTTCTTAATTTTCCTTTCTCAATTATAAAACAACTGTACATTTTTTCAGATACATAAGTACATTTTCATATCAGTGGCTAGGTAAGCTATCCTAATAAGCATAATTTCTGAAACTGGCGCTCTAAAAATCCTGAAAATTCTTGTAGAGAATTTATCCTCACAGACTTATAATCTGGTGCGAAATGTAGCATTGTGGCATCATTGGACCATTATTTTTTTTGAAAATGCTGCTGTTAATACCGTTGAAGTTAAAGATGGACTTTTAAGATGTATGATTAATGACTTTTTGTGTCCGGAAATTGAGGATATGGACTTAGACGACCTTTACTTTCAAGATGATGTTGAAAAATGCTGTACGCAGTCCATGAAACAATCAAACTCTTGAGTTCCAAGTTCGCTAATCTTGTAATGAGCTATTTTAGTAATATCAATTGGCCGGCTCGAAACTGCGATTTAACACCATTGAACTTCTATTTGTTATATTTCGTTTAAAATCGATGTTATACAATCCACAAATGATTCAAGCTCTTAAATTGAATTTTGGCCGAGAAATTTGAGATATAGTCCGAAACCATCAACAAGATTCTTTATACGTTAGACTTATACCAAGACACTAAGTATTATTACTTACACGTTTAAATACTGTATTATATGAATTCAAACAAAATTCTAATTACCGGAATTATAAAAAGAACGCATTTTGAGCCGAAGCCGTATCATGTAGAAAGGTTGCGGTCTGAGACGTCACACATAAAATAGATTGTTATATATTAATTAAAATGGCGTCTTTCCGTGCGTTGCGTTAATGAGAATAGTATCGTGTTCATATTAATCACTATCCGAAATGACGAAAATGCGTTATATCGCATAAAAAAAAATAAATATAAAATACTGTACAGAATGTAATCACGTAATATTGCCTTCGAAAGCTATATTGTCACTATCGTAATACATATTATTTTCCCCAGTCTCCGCTCATTAACAGCCGGTACATAAAAAAAATAAAAGAATGTTATTATACGAGTTTTACGATAAATTTTCGCGAGTGTCAATATAACAATGCGAAAATGTGTTCAACGAAAAAATAAATGAACGAATTGAAAACGCCATTAGAACAACATTTTTGAGGGTGTATATTATTATTAAACTCACGGCCGTGATTGTATAGCGGACCAACAGACCGTATGTTTATTATATTGAATGTACATACATAATACGCTCATAATAATAAAACGCTATATATATATTTAGTTATTTAACTGACGAGATTCTAATTAAAAAAAATATGTATAAAAAGGGTGATTAATTTAATGTTAAACGCTCATTATTTCATTAGTTCTCATTGTATTGACCTTTTTCAAGAAAATTGTTTTTGACAAATCAAAAAACAAGCAGTTATACAATTTTACATTACTATTGGTTTTTGTTACTTTTATTTTCGAATGTGAAATGATTACCTGTTTTTCCTTTTAAAATGGTAAATTCTATTAGAAATTCCTTAAATAAATGGAGTATTAGTTTAAATACATATCGGTGTTGAATTATTTAATTTCCGTTAACCCACTAAGAAAATATTCCACTTTTGTAAGGGTAGTGTAGTAGAGCATTATTTTTGTATCAGAGGGCAGAAGGCATTTAAATAATGTCCTATATTCTCTACTTAATAAAACTACAAAGTGAAATATTCAATCAAAATAATTAACGGAAATCAAAAATGTGAAGACTAAAACGTATTTAAATTAATACCTACATCTACTATTTATGAAAGTTAACCAGGTCGTCTTTTGAAAAAAAAAGTTATATCATTTACAAGAATACGTTTGACGGAAAATAATAGGAATGTAAAATTTTAGGGGTGCTTGTGCCAAATATAAATATCTAGAAAAAATGAATTTATCGAAATTAAAGTCTGTTTCCTAGTCAACTCACTACTTATCCAACTAATTTGCTTTTAGCTTGGTGTTGTATATTAGGTAGACACTGAAAAATAGTATGTATAATAATATACGATAGCTTCTCGTGTTCCCGAATTAGGTGTGGTTTTATGTGGCATTATAATTTATTTTAAAGCTAATTCAATGTTCCTACCACCGCTATTGTAGCTGTACAGTCATAGCAGTATACACACTTGTGAACGACTTTTAAGCACTAAAAATTTAATCTATTACGCCGCCTGTGGGAAAATTACTGTACAACCATAGTCATTACAACTGTGAATAAGTTAATAACCTGTATATCATAAAATAAAATATTTGTTTCTAGTAAGTGGTGGATTTCTAATTTTCTCTATAACATAACATTATATATTGATGGTGTTTTGTTAAAACGGCGTTTATTAAATTTCACTTTTTTCAGAAAGCAAAAAAAAAACTGTTAAAAAAAAATAATCAAAACAGTTTTAATAATGTTTATCATGGAAAACAATAAAATTACTCGTACACATAATTTCTTGTACATAAAGTATACATGCATTGAATGTGGTATACGCCTTTTTAACAGTTAAGTGTCGATTTAATTATATTTTATAAAGATGCCTGTATATCTTTTAAACGATATTACCAACTTAATTTTCTGTATTTAAATACGCCTTTTTTTCATTTTATGCTCCTAATTTTTTTGATTTTTTGTTACTTAAAACATATTTTTCGATTTTTAGTGGTTTTCCCCCCTGTTTAACAAAACACCATCGATATATTATTGATATATATGCATTTTGCAAATAAATTAATCAACCTTATTGTACAATAAAACAGGTGTGGAAAAAGTATTGTGTATTCGGTTTTTCAGTAAATTAATAATATCTGAGTGCATGCCATTATATCATTGCTTAGACTAATTCACGCTGTTTTTCTCACCCTCATATAGCTGTTTCCTTTTAAGATTTTTTAGTTTTTCTTTTATAAGCGTTTGAAATTTGAAAAATAGATTAAGATTAAGTATCTTTGGACGTTGTACAAAATTGAACCCTAATATTAGTCTTTTCAAAGGAGGAGAATTTCAAACTTTTAAAAGTCATTTTCGTGGCTAACTGACTATCTTGCCATCAAAATTATAAGGCACTACCCATATAAATTTTGACATAAAGATCTTACAGATCTATAGAAATGTGCACAAAACTAGTGCTACTTAAAGGAGAATAGTTCTAAATACCTGAACGATGTTTATAAAATTTATACGTGGATATTCATTTATTTATTTGAAAAAAAAAAAAAATTAAAATAAGATAATTTAACTTCTATAAAAATATTTCATATTCAAATTAACATTCTAAAATTATATTTGAATTTTGCCCGAGTAAATTAAATAATTTAACAGATTAATATAATTCTATTAATATACAATAGATCACCGAACCAAGCGTTCTCTTTTAAACAATTTATATTGTTAACTATTTTTTAATAAACTATATTGTTTTCTTTTTTTCGACATACATCATCCCTAGAAGGCTTCGTAAAAAATTAAACAGACGCCAATAATTCTGAGTCCAGGAAAAAGGAATAATATTCCGAAAAAAATTTTTACTTGGTGTATAATTCATATTTGCCGTCAATATAGGTTTTTTTTTTCTGGTCTGTTAATCAAATAATACAATAGTACCAACTTAAGGTGACCACCTTAAGACTGATATTAAACGTCTTATTTTTCTCCTTGACTGACTTTCATTTAAACAATTTAGGGTCCATCATCCTAAATGTCTACTTGATCCGATTTCTCACCTCGCATTCATGTGTCCTCGTATTGTTCTCAATCGCATCCAACTACCATATTTTCGGTTTTTCTCTCCTCTATACAACCATACAACATATTAAGTATCACCATACTTTTATAAAACTTAGCTTTAAGTCTCATTGAATTAATATTCTTTTGTCACATAAAACACGTCTACTTCATCCAACAACAATTAATCCTATATTTCACATTTGCACAACATACCATTACGTTACTTTTTATTGTTGTAAGCTTCAAACTCAAACTTTGTTTTACTTCTATATAACCTACATAAATACGACCGTTTTATGGTAAACATGTATACTAAATTGCATATTGAGTTTCAAAACATGTCTTTTAAAAACGAAATAGGAGCTTAAAATCGTAAAATGTTGAAATACACGTTATACATATTTTATTTATTTCTATTCGCAACGTAATAGAACGT